CCCAGCCAGCCAACCAGCCAGCCGGCCCGGGCTATCTAGCTTGAAAAGAAAAAAAAATCCGGCTCATGGACCCCGCCACGGCTCCGCCTCCTGCTGCTGGCAGCAGCCCAGGCCCAGGCTGCCCCTGTTCACCTCGCTCGCCCACCGTCCCGCTGCGGTCGAGCTCGAGCAGGTCCTCCCTCCATCGCGCCTTGATCACTGCACCATCATCGTCCTCACCGACGAGGCCAGCAGCAGCAACAGCAACAGCAACAAGAACAGTAGCAGAGCCACCCTTGTCCGATGCTATCTCAGCATCTCCTCCTTTCGCCGCACAGCCGCCACCGACGCGCTGCCTGTCGCCCGACACGGACACAGACACACACTGCAACAGCCGGCCTGCGTCCGGCGCCACGACCGAGACGAGCATCGAGGAGGTACAAGAAGAAGGAGAAGGGAAAGGAGCAGCAGCAGCGGCAGCGTGCTTCCACAAGGACTACGTCGTGCCAGTGCACCAAGTACCCCTGCCTTCCATCCCCTCACCTGCCATCTCCGCTGCGCAAGCGTTGCCCAGGCGCTTCAAGCGCCAGAGCTCAAGCTCTATGCCCGCTCCCGCCCTTCCGCCGCACGCTCCAAGCACTGCTGCTGCTGATGCCCCGTTCCCAACAGCCTCAGCGGCAACGGCAGCAACACCAACGCCACCAACCTCAGCGAGCGCCGCGGGGCACGAGAAGCGCGCACGCAAGCGCAGCCAGCGCAACTCGCTCGTCGGCTTGCTCTCCCCGTCCCTCGCTAGCTCCCTCTTTGCCGGCCTCGACGCCGGCGGGGGCGCCACCAGCCGCATCGCCAGCAGGACCAGCATCACCACCATCAGCGCCAGCAAAGAATGGCGCGAGAGGAGGCAGGAGAAGCAGAGGGCTAGAGTGATGAGCGCCGGCTCGGGCTCAGGCTCAGGCCCGGCTGCCACCTGCCCCTCAACAGGTGATGCAGCAGTAGCATCAGGATCATCGTCACCACAGACAGGAGCAGTGGCGCTCCCGCTTGCTTCTGGCCCAGATGATTCCGAAATGCCACAGACACACCACTACTACCAGCGCTCCTCGTCGACGCACACCGTGCTGCCGCCTCCGTCTGCAACGCTGACGCGCAGGCAGATGCTCGGAGCGAGTAGCAGGCGCATCTCGCTTCCGACCGTCCCGAGCATGCTGCACCGCTCCTCCCTTGGCTCCACCATAGCTGCAGCCACAGCGGGCGGCGGCGCCGCGGCAGCAGCCGAAGCAGAAGAAGAGGAAGGAGAACCAGATGAAGAGCGCGACAGCGAAAACCCAGAAATCGCCGCGGAGCCCGCGCCAGTGCGCCGGCGCGCCGCGCCGGCCATTCCTTTCGGCGCAGCTGCGGCGAACCGCACGAGCATGGCGTCCATCGCTTCATTCGAGAGCCTCCCCGAGGGACATGCCGTCGGCAGCTTTGCAGAGCGTAGCACCGTGCTCGTCAGCGGTGGCTTGGCCAGTGGTGGTAGCGCCAGCGGCATCACCAAGCGCAGGAGCGTCAGCCGCGAGCCCTCAGCCGAATCATGGCTCTCGCTGAGCGCTGGAGGTCGCGCCCGCGGCTGTGGCTTCGCGTCTGCGTCCGTGCTCGCGTCCGGGTCAGCCATCACCGACTCTCCGCCTTCGTCGCCCGCTTCGCCCAGCATGCCAGACCATGAGGCGCCGCCGCCGCCGGCAGCAGCCGCAGCTGCATCCAGAGCTTCACATCGCTCGTCATCATCTTCCTCATCCTACTCCTTCGCGTTCGGGCAGGCGCCCAGCCCGTTGTTCACACCTGGCAAGGCGCGCGCGGCGCTCTCGCAGTCTGTAGCACGTCCATTGTCCAGCTCGACAGCAGCGGTCGCGGCAGCGCGCATGCAGCGCCGCGCGCTGCACCGCAGCTCGACGGAGCCGGCCGGCGGAGTGGGCGTAGGTGTGGTAGACCTGATGGCGCTCCTGCAAAAGCGTAAGAATACTGCTGCCGAACTGCTCGACACGGAGCGCAGGTACGTCGCGGGGCTCAAGATGATTCACGAGGTGAGTCCCGCTGTTCTCGGCGCGCATATAGCTTGCGAAGCCGCGTGTGTGAGTTTGTGTTTTGTGACTGGCGACTGACACCAGACGCCTTTTGCCCCGCATACCGCGGCGCATAGGCATACTATCAACCACTCCATGCGGCGTCCTACGGCGGCGCGGGCCGGCAGGCTTCCGGCGGCGGCGCTTCGGGCAGCTCCACTGTTTCACCAGCAGCTGCAGTTGCAGCAGTTGCAGGCACAGGCGCAGCATCCTCCTTGGCATCTCTGGCAAAGGGCGTCGTCGGAGTCGGCCCTGCCAAGCTGCATGCGCCCTCGCTATCGCGCGCCGCGCTCAACGAAATCTTCAGCAACTTCAGCCATATCCTGCACCTCAACACCGAACTACTCGCCCTGCTCGAACAGCGACTGTGCAAGGTCGGCCAGCATGCGCCGCCGCCGCCACCGCAGCAGCAGCAGCCGGGCGAAGATGACGAGGAAGCGCAAGAGCATGAGCAGATCCCGTGGGACCCCGTTGACGACGACATCGGCGATATACTGGTCTCCATCGCGCCGTACTTTAAAATGTACTCGCTATACGTCAAGAACTTCAGCGCGGCGCTCGCGCGCATCGAAGCGGAGCGCAAGGGCAACGACGCCTTTGCCAAATTTCTCAAGCAAGCCGAGGCGTTCTGCGCGCAGCAGCAGCAGCGCAGGAGCACCGTCGCAGGAGCGGGCGCGGCGACCAAGGGCATCGCCGCCGCGGGCGTCGGTCTCGGTTTCCAAGCGCATTTGCTCAGCATCGTGCAGAGGATCCCAAGGTACAAACTGCTGGTCGACGGTTTGATTAAGACCACCCCGCTGTTGCATAAGGATTATCACCCGCTCATCACGGCCAATGCCATCATCGAACAGGGTGGGTGTATGCTAGGCGGGTGCACGAGCGTCGCGTGATGTTCTTTCTTGCTGAACCGTTTGGGCATTCCGCAGTCGCATCGAGCATCAATGAAAGTATCCGGCAGCACGAGGCGTCGCTCGTCATGCTCTCTATCCAGCGCTCTCTGCAGGGTCTGCAACATCCGCTCATCAAGCCTGGGCGCAATCTCCTGCTGCGCGGTACGCTGTGGAAGTCGACCCGGCGCAACGTGCAGCCGCGCGAGTTTTTCCTCTTCACCGATTGCATTGTCTACGCCAGCCCGCTGCTCGAGGGCGCCGGCAGCACGCTCTGGCAACAGACCGTTGCGCGCTACATTGGTTCTTCGTCCGCCCAGAGCGGCAGCGGCGTCCCAGATGAGTTTGGCGTTGTCTGGACGCGTAACATCAGCAGCGGGGCGGGCGTGGCCGCAGGTGCGAGCGTGCCTCAACAGACGCATCTGCACACGCGAACGAGCTCATTCAATGCTCTTGAAAGCGGCGCCTCCTCCGGTGCGCTTGTCTCACTTTTCGAAGGCCAGCAGCTGCTCTTCAGAGGCAAGTTCGACCTCCAGGACTGCACTGTTGTCAGCGTCGAAGGCTTGGATGGCCCTATCATGAGCCCTGATCTTGGCAGCTCGTTCAGCGGCAACGCCAGCGCATTGTCGTCTGCCACACCGACGGCAGCAGGCGCTGGCGCCGTTGCTTCTCGACATGCAGTCGAGATCCGCACGCCAGGCAAGAGCTTCGCCGTCTACGCGCCGAGCGCTGGCGCTAAGCTCGACTGGCTCAACGCCATTCGCACGGCCCGCGCTGACTACATGACCGCCAAGCGCACGCTGCTCCGCGACGAGATGATGGACGAGAGCATTGAGGCTCGGCGTGAGCGAAGGCGGAGCGCTAACCCGGCAGACACGTCGCGCATGAGCTTCCCTCGTCCCACTTCTATGGCCAAGGATCGACTGTCCAAGGAGATTGGAGAGGAAAGCGAGGCAGAGCTCGCGCAGATCAAGACCGAGGAGGCCGAGGCGCGCGTAGCAAAGCACACTTCCAGGCCCTCTTCCCTACCAACTGCGGCGTCTCAGAGCTCGTTCGAATCGATCGCTGGTCTCCTCGCCAAGACCAGTGTCACTCCTGGCCCGTTCGACCTCTTCGAGGGCAACAGGCGCTCGTTCCAGGGCTTGCCGCCGCCTACACCCTCTACCTGGCTTGACCTCAAAGTCCTGGAAGAGTACAATGCGCCCGTGTGGGTGCCGGACAACCAAGCTGATCGTTGCATCCGCTGCAGCGAGCCGTTCAGTATCTGGCGCCGCAAGCATCACTGCCGCCTGTGTGGTCAGATCGTCTGCTGGTCCTGCAGCACGCGCAACTTCTTGATTGCCACGTACGATGAGGCGGAAGCGTTCAAAATCGCACGAGCCTGCGACGCCTGCTACGACTCGGTCTTTCCCCCGGAAGACAGCCCGGTGCACAGTCCGCGCCACTCGCCATGCGTCACACTCGCACGCCCAAGAGCTGCCTCGCAAGGAGACATTGACGAGCCAAAGCCGCGACCCGCTCTGCAGCCGCACAGCGAGAGCGCTCGCAACAGCTACGCCACATCGCTCACGGATGACTCACCAGCGGAACCAACCACGCCCTTCGAGGCGCATCTGGCCGGTGAAGCAGACTCTAGGTTTGGCGAAATCTCGCAAGTAGCAAATATCTGGGCAGAACGCGCCAAGGCTATTGGCACCGCTGTGAATGTCTCCGAGGACGTGTCCCCTGGTTCATCACCGGCGCGCCGACCACAGCGCCTTCCCCTCCAGCGTACTTTCCGCACAGAAACGGGAGAAGAAGATCCCCAAGCGTCGCGACCCTATGCACCGACATCGAAAGCCTCCGGAGCCGGCACTCATCTCTTTGGTGGCTCCAAAATACAAATGATGCTCAAACCGCAGATGGTGCAGGCCGCGACATCCGGCACTGGCACCCTGCGCCTCTTGACACCACGACTCACGACCCCGGAACACGAGACCCCGCCAATGAATGCTCGGTCATCCATGGATGGACTTACCCAAACTGCAAAGCCGTGGAGCAACTATTTCGACCACCCTCTTGATGCAGGCGACCACTCCACCGCCGACGCTTCGCGCATGGACGCGCCACGAGCACGTGCAGTCGACCGCCACAAAAAGCGCATGAGCGCCGCAGCGCGCCTTTCCACTGTCTACGACCTTGCCAAGCTTGCTGGCGGCGACACGCACAATCAGCACCGTGCATCGCTTGCTTCACCGCTTATGCCTCATATCACCGATGAACCGAAATGATCGATACCACCTCGCGCGACCGCGTGACTGCCTTCGTTCTTATAATCCGTCCCCTTCGCATACAGCATTACATGTACCTTTTGCAAGCAGTCTCCTTTCCTCCTGCATGTGTAGTTTACTGCAAGTTCACCCATGCCAGTTTGGCTTAATGTGCAGGCGTGCGCTTCCAGGCTGTAGCAGCGTCTATAATAGTCGCCAGGGTTTTGGCGTTGCGTACCTGCACAGTGGGTATTGTGGGATCCATGATGTCCGTGTCAAGGATGACGAAGTCGGCGCGCTTGCCCGGTGTGAGAGTCCCGGCGCTTTGTTCCTCGAATTGCGCATACGCCGCATCAATCGTGAAGCCTCGGAGCGCCTGGCCGCGCGAGAGCGTCTCATTCTCGTGCCACCCTTCGTTTGCTCCGGCGGGTGAGGACCCGTCAGGCCAAGCCCTTGTGATTGCGCTGTAAAAGCCGTGCAAGACGTCCGGCAGCTCGACGGGAAAGTCTGAGCCAAGCGCGATCCGTGCTCCGTGGCCCAACAAGCTGCGCCAAGGATATGCGCCGCGTGCTCGCTCGCTTCCTTTGCCGAGGCGAGACTCAACATAGCCCATATCTGAGGTACAATGAACGGGTTGCTGGGAGGCAATGACACCGAGCTTGCTGAAGCGCGAGATGTCTGATTGACGCAAAAGCTGCGCATGTTCGATGCGCGGACGATGGTCTGTACCATTCATGTCAGAGAGGATTGATTCATAGGCATCGAGAACGAGCGTGTTCGCGCGATCACCAATGCAGTCTGCACAAGGAGCAAGGTAGTATCAGTAAGGGTATTTGCTTGTTGCCATATCCGAGCTTGTCTGACGCACGGACACCGACTTGAAACCCTCGCTGCATCCAGTTCTGAATCGTTGGTTTTATCTCTGCCTCTTTCATCAACAGCAAGCCCTTTTCACCCGGTCGGTCAGAGTACTCCTCCCACATCGCCGATCCCCAGCTGCCCAATGCTCCGTCGGCGAAAAGCTTGATCGTCCGTGCAGTCAGCCTTCCGCCGTGGGAAGGAATGTGCGGTGCGATCGTTTCGCATACATGCTTTCCCCCCTTGGCTGGCGGTCTTGAGCAGTCGTAGAAAGCGTAGAAACGGAGGCCAAGATCACGCGCGGCATCTTTCTCTCGAAAGAATGCGACGCTTGCAGGGTCGACGGCTGCATCTCCCGCGTTGGTTATTCCGACACTGAGAAGGCGCTCAGTGGCCAGAGAGAGGTATTGGGCACGGTGGGTATCCGTCCACGCTGGCATAGCTGAGTCTGTGTATCACCGCGAGGAAAGTGTCCGCGAAGGTGATGGAGTCAAGGTGAGGTTTCATGCCCACGGGCTCGCCAACGGATACTCACAGACAATTTCCATGGCCTTGTCTACGAAAATACCAGTTGGGTGACCATTTTCATCCCTCACGATCAAGCCGCCGTCGACTTTACCTCCATGTTCTTCCGCAGCAGGCAATTTCCCTTGGGCGTGCAGCTGGTCGAGTACGGCGGGACTGACCCACAGGGCATGCACGTCCACGCGCCTAAGAACGACCTTGAGGTATTTAAGCACCGGTGAATTTGAAAAATCCGATGCAGTGGGAAATATGGCTGGAGACCAACGCGTCTGGTCCCAACCCAGCCCCTCAATCCACCCAGATGCTACGCCTGCTTCCGAAGACACCGATAAGGTCTCAACGTAGGTTTCTAGCCTTTTCATGATACAGTCTTTCGATTCGCAGCCGACCAGGTTCGCGACGGATAGCGACCATCCGAGTTCGAGGACATGGCCGTGGGCGTCATGAAATCCTGGGTAAATTGCCTGACCCGGCGCAAGGACCCGTAAGTTGCACGGTGAGCCTGCGTTCGAGCAAGCGTTGTAGACTTCGGCATTCCGAAGAAGAGATGTGACGGTGGCATTTTGATGCGACAGAGCCATACAATCTACCGGTCCACCTTCGGTAAAAATTGCGTGGCTGGCATTACCATTGCGACCGAGATCGGCCTCCCATCGACGCCTCTGACTGTTTTCGATATTTATATCTGCCGTGTAGATTCTCGGCTTTGAACTTTCATCCGCAGAAGGCAAAACCAAATGTTTTATGGCTCGGTCGAAAGGATTGTAATTTGAGCTATACGTCGAGAGCTGCGAGAGTAACCTTGCAAGCAATGGTTGAGGTGAGAAGAAAAGAGGATTTGGTCCCTGTGAATAGACGTAATCGTCGTATGATGCCGAGCAAATGATTATATCTCTTGCATCGCTAATTTCGTCCAGCGCAGATAGGAAGCCATCAATACGGTCGTACTGTGTTAAATTCCGATGGAAACGGGAATGCGGGTGGAATGCGTATCCCCAGACGTTGAGCGAAGCGGAGGCAGCGAACAGAAGGAAAATGCTCCCGAGCATGCGGGCCACAATTGGCGTCAGATTCGATCGAGATACATGGTGCTGTGCACCCCTCCGCTTTCCATTGCCCTTGTCGCCGTTCATGTTCGACGAACCTGACTTGGACCGTGAAGAACTTGAAGCCGCATTGCTACGGTGACGTAGAGGTGAGTCCCCAGTCATCGCTCATCGCCCTCCAAAGAGCAATAATTCATCGGTCCCTGCTCCTCGATTCGCCGCGGTGATCCTGGCACCAGCTGACGAGCTAGCGGTTAATTAACAATCAACCCGGGGAGTTCACGGCGATGAACGACGTGAACGTGCATGGATGCGCGAATGAAATGACTCGCATGCATGCCATGCGGCGGAACCAGGACGGAACTCCAAGAAATACCGGGGATTGGAAAGAAAATATTTTCAATTCTGTGCTATATTCCCCGTTTCTGTCGTCGGAGCTCTACGCATGAATTGAACTGGCGACTTGCACGGCAGAATTTAGACAAAGTGACACAAATTCCTTGGATTTTTTCCCTGCACGTAACCATGTCGCCGGGGAGTTTGGGACGTTGAATGCTATCTCCGAATCAGACTCAGCAGACTCGAATTGCTGTCTCGACCGCTCTCTCATCATCACATCGCCACTACCTTCACCCATGCGAATGACGTTGCTGCTCCATTTGTCAACTCGCAAACGAAAAACGCAACACTGGAGAGGCTCGGCACAGTGTCGATTCACAAAATCCCATCATGCTTGCTGTCCAATCCCAGCCAACTGCCCCGCCACTGGATGCCGCCACCAGCAGCGACTTGCCAAGCGCGCTTCCCTCCACTGTTCTCTCAAGCGAGTCCATCGCCCGGGCCCTACCCGATGCGGTGCCGGAGAATGCTCCCGCACATTGTCCAGGCACAGACAGTGACCAAGCCGGTCTAGCATCAGCATGCCAGGGCTGTCCCAATCAGAATGTTTGTGCTTCTACGCCAAAAGGACCGGATCCTGATATCCCCAGGATCAGGTCTCGCATGAAGGGCGTGAAGAACAAAATCTTGATTATGAGCGGCAAAGGCGGTGTAGGAAAGAGCACATTCACCGCACAGCTTGGCTGGACACTCTCCGCCGAATGCAAGAAGCGCGCCCCTTGGCAGGAGAAGGGAAAAGGGCGCGAGGTTGAGACTGAGCATGAGGCCGAGCTGTGTCAGACGGGCATTATGGACATTGACATTTGCGGACCGTCCATTCCGACGATCCTTGGCCTCACATCTGCAAATGTTCACTCCAGTGCATCAGGCTGGTCGCCGGTGTACGTCAGCGATAGCCTCTGCGCCATGTCCATCGGCTTCCTCTTGCCGAGCGCCAGCTCGGCAGTCATCTGGCGAGGGCCAAAGAAGAACGGCATTATCAAACAATTTCTCATGGATGTCGACTGGACAGGCGATCAAGGTGCGGATGATGAGGAAGCGGATGCGAAAGGCAGCGAGAAGTACTCGCTCGATTACATGCTCATCGATACACCACCTGGTACATCCGACGAGCACCTTTCCATCGTCTCCTTCCTCTCACAAGCCTCCACAATCAATGGTGCAGTCCTCCTGACAACACCACAGGAAATTTCTCTCCAGGACGTGCGCAAGGAGATCTCATTCTGCCGCAAGATGTCCATACCAATCCTGGGAATCGTAGAGAACATGGCCGGCTTCGTCTGCCCGGCCTGCCATGGCCGCAGCGACATTTTCTACCCGAGCACGGGCGGAGCAGAAGCGTTGTGCAAGGAGCTCGGGCTCCGTTTTCTTGGTAGCGTGCCACTAGACCCGCGAATAGGAAAATGCTGCGATATGGGCACGAGCTTTGTCGAAAGTTTTCCGGATAGTCCTGCGAGTGTCGCCTATAGAAACATCATCGATAGTGAGTCAAGCGCGCGAGCGGCTCTCGCCGCCGACCAACCAGACGACACAAGTTGCTGACTCCCGAGCTCCCTCGTCCACCTTCCTTTCTTTCCACAGAAATCCAAGAGCTAGTTCCATAGGCTAGTGCCACAGTCACAATACTCTCGCCGCATTCCCATGGGCTTACATATCGCCGAGCGACGCTAGAGAGTAGTACACAATGGTATCACCGAATGCTCCCCAGTAACACATCAGTATGAACATGGGTATAATCATACAGTCATCAAAGTCATACTTTCGTCAAAAGGTCCTCGCAGTGGTTGATCCCAATGTTCAACTTTCATCATCCTTTTCATTTTCCAGAACTAGTAGCTGCGCCAAAGCCCATGGCATTCTGCCAGACGCTCTTGGAAGGCAGCACAGCGGCACTCCAATATCCTGTGCCATCTGGTAGCGCGCGCGGCAACGCGAGCGTCCACCGCTTGCGGCCGCCAAGGGTATTGCCCTTGGCTTTCTTGCTTGCAAAAAACACATGCGAGGACGAGTGGAGGAGCGCGCCGTTCTTTGCTGTCACTGTCGTGACCGTCGCTGATTTGTCTGCGCCTGCATCAGGCAGAGGGATGCTTGTCGCCACGCCTGCGTTGGCTTTTGCATCTCCGAGTGCGAAGCTAAAGTCGATACCAGCACCCGTTTCGGATCCTGCAGAACTGTTCCCGGCACCACCAACGACCCAATCAGCACTGAAAGTCCAGGCGTCGCCCGTGGGCGGGAAATAATGAGTGTTCGTTTTGGCTTTGCTGCCCAGTATAGGTGCATGGTTGGCTACCTGCCACTGGATTATGGTACTTGCGCATTTCTCCTGCGACTCTAGAGCGTAGCGAATGCGTAAAGCCAGCACGCCGAGGCGCGACGCAAGAATCGTGGGGTATGGAATTTGGGAGAGCGGGACTGTCGAATTTCCGCCGCGGCAGCACCGTGCGAAGAGGCAGAAAGCGGCATCAGCAAGTTCTTCCGAAAGGATCTACCATGGCGTGCGACTCACCGGTCGGTAATGCAGAATTACCAGCCAAGTAAGGACTTGGTACGTACGCATTCCCCTTCGGACCTTTCAGCTTTCGAAGATTCGCTGGCACGAGTACCGACAGCAATGTCGAGTCCCGATCTTTCCCCTTGTTTGCCAACTTTTTCAATTATTAAGAAGAGATGCTTCAGTGTCAAGCCAGAGGTTTCGGGGAATCATGCGAAGAAGCAAGATGTACCTGTAGCATCCAAGCAAGCAGAACATGCTCTTTCTCCACTCTGCCCTCCTCGCCGTCCACATTGTGCCCCTCTGCCTTCAAGTCGGCCTTCGCCTGCCCCATGAGCGATTCTACGATCGAGGTCGGCACGAATACATCACGTGCCTCGAATGAACTTAATGGAAATCTGATGCTATTATTCCAGGTCTCCCGGATGCTGTAGTATAGACGAGCGAAGAACGGATAGGTGAACCAGCCGTACGGTGTCGGTAAGATGGAACGCTGCGTTAGTGTGAGAGTAAGCGCCTCATTCACAATGTCTTCGAGGGCAAAAGCACTGTATGCGCTTGTATCTACAGAACAGTTTGTATTAGGTTTTAACGGAAGTGCAGGAGGAAGGCGGGGTGGCTGTGGGGTTGTTGTGCTGGCGTTGGAGTGTTGTAGAGACGTCCACGCGCTGACTACTTGGCAAGCACCATCTGGATCGAGGAATATTGTAGGTGCAGTGAGCACTGCAAGCAGACCATCGTTGAAGAGTGTGACATGTACGCTGACAAGGCTGTGCTTCTTTGAGACCGTGTCCGACGCGGACGACTTGATAAGCAAATCGTTGCTGACGTCGTTCGGAGCGTTTGGAGCGTACTTGTGCAGTTCTGACTGAGTGAGAGAGGGGAGAGTGCTGATGGACGAGGCGGATAGCTCGCCTGATAGACGGCCAGGAAAGATCGTGCTGATCAGAGTTCCAGGCGGAGCGGAGGAGATGGTAAAGCTCGGCGATGGTGCCGCGGTGGTGGGCGACGTGCCAGCAGTATCCCGGGCCTCTATGATTGTCGGCGCTCTCTTCGCTGCTGCCAGTCTCTTCAGCTGTCTCCCTGAGGGAATCTTCAGGATCCAAGCATCGCTTCCGAGCTTGTCCGCGCCCCCACCGCCGACGGGGGAGGGAGTCGAATAGGCACAAACAATACTTGCCGCGAGAACCGGCCAAGCGTCTACCAGTCTGTACCAACTCGTTTGAAGCTTTTGCAGATCGAAGCTGTTGCCAGAGACGAGGTAGCTGTGGAATCCGATGCTTTCGCGCGCAGCGGCTGGGACGGAGAGCGTGTACGGGGATAGAGGAACGTACGAGAAGCAGTCACCATCGCCGGCGTCTGGACCAGCTTTGGGCGGCGGCGTTGCAGGGGCAGGGGCGGTCATGGCAGGCGAATGTTTCAGCCCCGATGGTTGGCAGTGGGCCACCTTGCATTCGCAGTCGGAACTTCTCAATTTTGGGCGAATGAGCATAACCCTCTGGAACGTATACATCCAGCTTCGAGTGCCAAACACCAGAGACGTTGACTTTCATGAGTGGACGCACATGGCGACAGCTATAAGGGCATTCCGGCGTGTTGCCGCCAATGCCGAGAGGCGGGAGACGAGAACTGCAGCGCAGTCACCGATGGGTGGAGCAGCGACAATAACCCCACAAATAGTGCGTTGTACGATCTAAGACTTTCCAACCCTACTCTTCTTTGGGCATCGTCGGGCAGCGGCGCACTCGCTAGCATCCGTTCCCTCGACCTGCTCTTCAGTACTTGAGACCTCGACTGTTTGACAAGGTGGAGATTCGCGTATCCTCATATCCTTCCTCTGGGCAGTCCAATATCTGTTACTCGTCGCGGCATCGCATCCGCGTTCTAGCGCGCAGCGTCTTCCTGGACTGCCCCGACCTTGTGACCGCAGCGGGATCTCTGCACAAGGCCGGATCAAGTAAAGGGTCTGCCACGCGAACCATCCAGGCCTGCATCGCATTGCACACGACGTGCAGGGTGAACAAGATGTCCGAAAAGTCAGCTCTGCTCGACCAGCTCGACAATCTGCCAAAGGTGCGTCTCATAGGATTATTGCGTATATTGAAGGGGTGCTGTGTGGTCGAACTGTCTCGATGCCTTGCGTACGATCTTGGGACTGACACGGGTCGTGGGATGTCTCGCTTCACTACCCGCAGATCCGGCACTTCGATGCTTTCCCAAAGGTCAGTCAATGCTATTCCATCGCCCTGCGACTTCGATTGCTTGTTTCTGAAATATCGAACACATATTTCTTCAGACGCAGCCACTCTACCACCAACGCTCGTCACGAGGCGGCGTCTGGACAGTAGTAGTATCAGCGGTGATCTTTCTTCTCTTTTGCTCCGAACTATCAAACTACCTCTACAAAGAGCATGCCTATGAATTCTTTGTAGATTCAAAAGTCGGCGATGATATGCAGATCAACGTCGACATGACTGTTGCCATGCAGTGCCATTGTGAGTGGCTCGAAGTTGCTGCATATTGCCTTTGAAACAATCAGGCGAACATACGCTCAACACTGCATGGATACATTGCAGATCTCACTATCGACGTTCGCGATGCAGTCGGAGACCGGTTGCATGTATCTGAGCAAGAGTTCAAGAAGGATGGCACGACTTTCGAGATTGGCCATGCGGGGCGATTAGAGTGAGTCCTTTGTGCTCTCACACAAACGATTCTCATTCCTCATGAGACCTACGACACGCTCTCTCCTGTAGCTCTCTGCCAATGAAGGACTTGGTACGTCAATCAGCCTCACGTGCAATCTCCTCGGCCGGTGGCCTCTTCTTCTACAACCCTGCCAAGCGGCGGTTGAAAGAGTACGGCTCCAAACGATTCGCCAAGACTTCACACCTGGTCAAAGACGGACCCGCGTGTCGCATCTATGGATCCATGCTCGTCAAGAAGGTCACGGGCAACTTGCACATAACCACGCTCGGCCATGGGTACTGGAGCTTGGAACATACCAATCACGCGCGTGAGTGCGATTGGATTGGATTTGTTCAGGCGGCTGTCTTGCTTACAATCCTGTTGCCCCAACTGCAATCCCAGTCATGAATCTGTCGCATGTCGTGCACGAATTCAGTTTTGGTCCATATTTCCCTAATCTTGCACAACCGCTCGAGTCAAGCGTAGAGACAACGGCAGAGCGTGAGTCGTGCTAGCCTCGAGGCTTTTCTCGAACAACATACCACGCGCCATGCTAATTTTACACCTCACTCTTCTGCCCGCACGCCAGACTTTGCTGTGTTCCAATACTTCGTCTCCGTCGTCCCGACGATCTACATCGATCATCGAGGGCGCTCACTCCAGACGAACCAGTACTCGGTCACTGACTATGCGCGCGTCGTCGAACACAACCGAGGCGTACCTGGCATCTTTATTAAGTACGACATTGAGCCGATGACGATGATCGTCCGCGAGCGCGCATCGTCCCTGCTGAACTTTCTCGTGCGTCTCGCGAGCACCGTCGGCGGAGTATGGGTGTGCTCGGGCTTTGCGTACCGTGTCACGAATCGCGTGGGGACCGTCGTGAAGAAGGTGCGCGACGGCGCGGACCGGGAAGTGGATCCGTACGAATACGCAGGGGGCTATGGCAACGCGAGTGCGACGCGCTATGCACCGTCCGGCTCGGGCATACCCAACATGTTCAGGACGGCGAGCGGGAAGATTATCAATGCTGCTAGCAGTGTCGGCACCGGCATCAGTGGTGGTAGGGTGCACCGCAAGACGGAGTCGATGCAACAGAAGATCATGAGCGAGGAAGGCAGGGCGTGGTAGCAGATCTGTACTTGCATTTCTCGCCATGTATCCTTTCCTGGCGTCGCTTTTAGGCATGCCCTGTGTAGTTTCACACATCTGCTACGTTTGTCGGACTGTGCGCCTCGTCACATCGGTATGTTGTGCAATAAATGCCGCTGGAAACGTCATTGACTCGCCCATTCTGAACGGAGGTCTAGCTGGAAAGCCAACCCCTCTTAAAACCGTCCGCGCCTTTCCGAGAGGTGTTGCGTGGCGCCGCGGGCGGACCCACGAACCAGGCCAAATTCCGGTGAATAGTGATGTATATATACCGGAGAACGTTGCGTTGGGGCGCACCGCGAAAAATTCAGAGAGTCCAACATCACTTTCAATTGACTCCATCGAGAACTCTCTCAAGCCAGCATCCTCACCATCCGTACAACATTCTGCCCGCCAGGTATCGAACATCCTCACGTTCGGTGTCAGACAAAGAACGTGCTCGACCTTGTGTATACGCTGCTTGGACACAATGTTTTCAGGTCTGGTCGCACGCCGGGCTGGCGCAACGCCACTCAAGGTAAGTCGGCTCTGGCTCGCTTCCGCTTGAAGAGCGTTCTAGAGGGGTACTGACCCTGCGCGCGCACTCTGCAACGACGATAGACTTTCCAGCCTTCAACGCTACCACATGTGCTTCGCAGCTCGGCAGTCCGTGGTCTCGCCACTGCGGCTGAGCCATACGATGTCGTTGTCATCGGTGGTGGCCCTGGGTGAATATTTCAATTCTTCTTTTGTGACCCTTCTTTCGCCCTCAAGCTGATGGTTTCCATCCCATCTTCTCGTAGTGGATACGTTGCTGCCATCAAGGCTGCTCAGCTCGGTCTCAAGGTAAGCTGGATAGGCAGTCCAAGTGGAGTCCACGCACTAACGAGTGCTGCCTTTGCTTTCGCTCAGACTGCATGTGTAGAGAAGCGCGGTTCGCTCGGAGGGACATGTTTGAACGTCGGCTGTATCCCATCGAAAGCCATGTTGAACAACTCGCATCTTTACCACCAAGCTGCACACGACTTCAAGGGTCGAGGCATTGAAGTAGGCAGCCTCAGCCTTAACCTCGCAACCATGCTCAAAGCTAAGGACAGCTCGGTCAGCCAGCTGACCAAGGGTATTGAGGGTCTCTTCAAGAAGAACAAGGTCGACTACGTGAAGGGTGCTGGCAGCTTCGCCTCGCCCACTTCCGTGAGTGTTAAGCTCAACGAGGGTGGCGAGACGCAGCTGGAGGCCAAGAACATCATCATTGCTACCGGATCGGAGGTTACTCCGTTCCCCGGCATCGAGATCGACGAGGAGCAGATTGTCTCTTCCACCGGTGCGCTATCGCTGCAGAAGGTCCCGGAGAAGATGATTGTCATCGGTGGCGGTGTCATTGGCCTAGAGATGGGAAGTGTATGGAGTCGCCTCGGTTCAAAGGTGACCGTCGTCGAGTTCCTCGGTGCGATCGGCGGTGCAGGCATGGATGGCGAGATTGGCAAGAGCTTCCAAAGGACACTTGAGAAGCAAGGGCTCAAGTTCAAGCTCGGCACTAAGGTTGTCGGCGCAGAGAAGAAGGACGGAAAGGTTGTGTTGAACGTGGAGGGTGCCAAGGACGGCAAAAAGGACTCGCTCGACGCCGACGTCGTGCTCGTCGCCATTGGCCGGCGGCCCGTCACCTCTGGTCTCAACCTTGAAGCGATCGGAGTCGAAGTCGACAATCGCGGCCGCATCATCGTCGATGATCAGTACAACACGACGTGCAAGGGCATTAAATGCATCGGCGATGCCACGTTTGGACCCATGCTAGCGCACAAGGCTGAGGAGGAAGGTATCGCCGCTGTCGAGATCATCGTCAAAGGACACGGACATGTGAACTACCAGGCTATCCCTTCTGTTGTGTACACGCACCCGGAGGTCGCGTGGGTTGGCAAGAACGAGGAGGAGCTGAAGGCTGACGGTGTCGAGTACAAGGTCGGCAAGTTCCCCTTCATGGCCAACTCGCGCGCAAAGACGAACCAAGACTCGGAGGGTGTCGTCAAGTTCTTAGTCGAAAAGTCGACAGACAGGGTGCTAGGTGTGCACATCATCGGACCTAACGCCGGCGAGATGATCGCTAGTGCCACACTTGCCATCGAGTACCAGGCTTCAGCGGAGGACATTGCACGAACATGCCATGCGCATCCGACCCTTTCAGAGGCGTTCAAGGAGGCGGCTATGGCGTGAGTACCAACTCCGTTTTCGATCCTTTCTCTCACTACCTTCCTTTGCTTTCAACGACTGACGCCATCTTCTTCCTTCAGATCCTACGACAAGGCAATTCACTTCTAAAAGGGTTCTTTAATTGTACTATCGCCCCCTCCCAGTAGAAGCTGCACCCTTGATGTTGTGTTGCGTAGTGAACTCTCGTTGCTTTGTTTCATCCGTCGCCTCGCCTTGTCTCGCTTCGAAGCATGTGGAGCAACAGCAGCTCATGCATCACCGCGTCGAGGGGGTGAGAACACAGACACCTCAGGTGTGAATAGAAACTGAGCATGAGTAAGCGTGGCCTCGCATGCGGATAATGTTGCTTGGCATGATACGCTTCGCCACAGTGATTGAATATCGTTCTGAAATGTCTATTACTCCTCATCACTTGGAACGGGCAGCTGGTCCGCCTTCGGTACTTGGTCACGTTGGACCTGGTCTATCTGAATCTACAGTACATGTCGGATTATGAAACGCTAACTGGTGCGAAAGCAGTTGTGGGAGGCGGCTTGTTGTCTTGGGCTTTGAAGTCCGCTTCTGTCGGTGCAGGCCAGCTGATGTCGCCTTCACCTTCGCCTGCGTCGCCCTCTTTCGCTGAAGCTGAGCCATATGCCCCTGCTGCTGACGCTGACGCGTCTGCGTCTCCTGTCGCAGTGTCCGCATCCCACTTAATGTTGAACCGTGTCACTCTGGGCTTGCTGACCAGTACCTCCCGCTTGATTTTAGCCAAGTCTACCTCCTCTGGTGGATTTTCCCGCATCTCTTCGCTCTCGTATGCATTGTTCACGTAGTATCCGACGCGTATGAATTCGCTGTCCTTGTAACACCCGGTCAGGAGGATGACAGTGACGCCGAGCAGATCTGATGCGGGAATCTTGTCTGGAGAAGGCGCGGCTGCTTCGAATTCGAATGAATTGACACCTGTGACGTGCAAGACGGTCAATACTGTCAGCCAGAGCAGTACTTGCATTCGAAAGCGAATAATATGCCACGGATGGGCCTACACAACCCCTCTGTCTGTCCTCACCTACTGGCACTGGCCCCACCATGCAATTATCCAAATCCTGATCGTAATCCTTGCTCTGGGCACTTCCGACGTAGATGAGCTTCCACTCGAGATCGTCCTCCAAAGGTGAGATGCACTCGAATGTGACCTTGAATAGGTATGGATCTACAGATCGAGTCCGGCGGCGGGTCCACGGAAGGGTCAGCAAGCATGAAGAGGGCCTATCAAATTTCCAGACCGAGGCACTCACCAGAAAACGCAGCATTCGGGTTCAGGATCTCAATATTCTGCAGGTGGACGATGGACATTTTGAATGAGTCGTTGAAGGGTGGCGGCTTCTGATTGATGTCTCGTCTGTATCTCTACGAAAATGTCCTTGACAGCCAGCTTGATGGATGTGTAGTACAGCAAGAAGGGTATGTCTATTTGCGGCTTTGCGGGCGTGCCAGGTTGATGCGAAAGTTGGTTGTGGTGAGGGCTCGCGTGTCGCCCCAGGTCACGTCTCGACATACGCCACAGGGAAGAGAGACGCGACGCGCGCACATGTTGAATTTACACATGATGGTGCACCCACTGGTGGGCCCGAAAGCATGTAAACCCCGGCAGCAGCCGTTCCCAGCCGAACTCGATCAGACTCGCAGCGACGTCAAAGTCTCGCCAACACAGTGACATTGAATCAGACTCGACTTGCCGCTTGGCGAAGATGGTCATCAGCGTCGAACCTTCGCACACAGATATGCTCTGCCTGGGCTGGCAAGAGTCGAAATCTCCCTGAATAGTGAGCCCCTCAATAGTGTCAGCTAGCAAGATGGCGGCAGCGGCATCCGGCGCAGCGTCTTCTTCTAGGGCCATGTTGCTTCGCAGGCTCGCAGGGTCAGGTGCGGTGATGGCTGGGACTGCAGTGGCCGTCGCGACCGGCTCGCTTGCATCTCCCATATTTGCAGAGGAGCGAACAAGGCGAGAAAAGGTGAGCGTTTGCCTCCCGCAAATTGGAAAACGGGGCTACGCGGCATTCGCAAGCAAAGGCTACTGCCGGAGCCTCATGCTTCCTTTGCGCTATTCGTTTCGATGGTCCTGGTGTTCGTGTCATAGCTGACCTTGCCTTACACCCTCTTCCCGGATTTAAGCTCTCCATCTATGACGATCCAGCACCGCCAGTGACCGTTGTCGAATACCACACTGAGCTCGAACGGCAAGTCGGCTCTGTGCGCAAAGCCATTTCCAATGTCACATATGACACGCAGCAGAGCCTCCGAGGTGTGGTGAACAAGTGGATCAAGACCGAGCAGTCCGTTGAAGGTGAGGATCGCAGGATTACTATTTCGGAGGCCGGTGTGTGCTGAACCTGCCTGTCTTCTTTCTGCCCGCTGCGTCCGCGTAGCGAAAATCAGGGAGCTGGTCGCGAAGGATGAGCCCATCACCCCCGGCATCCTTTATGTCGGTGTTGCGACCCTTGCAGGTTCAGTCTTTGGACGGTATCGTGAGTGAAATGGTCTACAATCCCAATGTCGTGTCGATCCAGCTTTAACCGATTCTGCTTCGAAAAGGAACGCTGCCCATTCGACTGTTCGCCCCACCTGCTTTCTTCTTCGTGTCTCTCAACTTCTTCCTGCCCAAACTCTCGCACAACCTGTCGCAATACTACGTATCGATTGAGAAGGCGCACGTACCGGCGCTGACGGAGCAGCGGGAGCACCTCGTCAAATGCTATCGTGACGCTCTCAAGAGCTCCGAGTCCGGGTTGGAGAGCATCAAGCACAAGACCGAAAGCGGTCTCCAGAGCGGTCTGCAGCAGGTCGAAAAGTCGACGGGGCTCCGTATCGGCAATGCACTCGGTAATGCACAGCAGGCGGCCGCAGAGGCAAAAGAGAAGCTTGTATGATCAAACATGCGCACGCATTGAAGTTGCCGCCCGTGTTTGTGTTCTCGCGCAGAGAAGCAGAATGAGGCGCAGGTGTGATATTGCGGCAGCTTTACATAGAATTAGTTGTTACACGTACAACAGATGCGATCCATGCTCTCCCGATGGCAGAGCAGGCAGATTATACACTCTCCAAAGAGCAAGTTTGCATGCGGAACATTATACCACGAGCTCGGTCGCGTCGCCTTCCAAGGTCTCAAATAAGTCCGTCCACGCCTGGTCCCAGTCAAGGCCCGTGGAAATGAACGAGCCGAGATCGTGAGATTGGCTGCTGCTACCGGCGCTCATGAAACCCGCAAAGTCTGCGTTCGAGACACTGCCTCCGAATCCATCCGCAAACCCGTTGCTGGTATCCAGATGCATCAGCGAGTTCTGCGGAGTCATGTCGGACAGCCTGGAAAGGTGCGCATCTAACAGCTCGACCATGCCATCCCCGTCCGAGGCAGACGGTAGCAGTGCAGCTGAAGACGGCAGCACGGAATCTGTAGCTGCTCCGCCGTCGGAACTTGCAGCTTTACTAGATGGGATGCCGTACTCGGAGTTGCGCCTACTGAGCGAGAGTCCGACTGCGCCCGCTGCCGTAGGTTGTGACGAAGCCCTCTGCACAGTCGCGGCAAGGAGTCGCTCGAGATTCGCGCTGGCTCCATGCAGCACGGACCCCTCCGTCACCTGGCCTTCGTCCTTGAGCCTGTCTATGATAAAGATGAGGTTCTCTTGCATCTGGCGCGTTTCACTATCACTCGCTGGCGCTTTGTCGTCTGTTATACCGGCGCCGGCGAAGAGCTCACCGCCTCCGCTCAGACTGTTAGCAGGATAGAGTGCGCGTGGACGATACCACAAGTCCGTGATCATGGTCAAGCAGGCTTGGAAGAGATAGTACTTTTGGATCTGCAGGGTTGGGAAGAACGTCCTAGTCAGCAAAGCGCCTTCATGACAAGGCGTGACAAACTCCTCGACTCACTCGATCTCTTGATGACAGCCAACCGCGCTGACTTATCGTCCTTGCCTCTTCCACGAGGGCGTTGGCGCTCTCCAAAGATCTGCGAACCGACGGACCGTACTCGCCCGGATTGCGGTAACCGAGCGACATGAATGTGCAATGCAACTTGAGCGTACGATGGTAGACGGAGGATCGGATGAGCGACGCCTGTCGCCTCAGCCTCTTGATGTCGTCCGACTCGGCAACTTGCGGCTGGCCAAAGGTCAGATCAGCATCCTTTTCCGTCCAGCTGCGCCGCGTGAGAATAGCAGAGAGTTCATCGTCAAGCGCGAGCACGGCGGAATAGTCGACAGATGTTCCGAGCATTTTGTGCGTCTTCGTCAGATCCAGCCATCTGCGCGCGATCTCTGCGGTCTCCAACAGAGCCAACCATGCATCATGGGGCTAAGAATGATTAGAAATGATTCAGTCGGATGCTCGAGAGGGTTTGGCACTGCGCACGCTCCGTTGGCACTCACGGAAGGGAAACCGACCCTGATGAATTCGGGTCGGGCTGGGGCCATCGGCGGACGTGAAGTATAACTGTGCGGATCGATATTGTAGCTGCCATTGAGCCCGCAATGGTTCCAATCCGCCATCAATATACCACTCCAGACGGCTCTTCCAATCTCCAGATTCGCGGAAGACATCTCAATCTCCGGATCGATCCACCAGTGCTGTAGCGTCCGCTTCGCAGGGTCAATTTGTAGATCCGGGCTCGGGCCGGGCGAGATTGAAGAGTCTGCCGAGCCGAGGCGGTCGAGCCCGAGCCGGCGCGCAGCCCTCGTAGAGCTGTCGAGCAGGCGCAGCAAGTCCTTATGCCGGAACCGGTGTGCGAGCGCAATGACAGCAACAAGCGTAGCCTGCACACCTTCTAAGCTAGGATTTGCAGCGAGCTCTGCTGCGTCAATGCAGCCGATAGCAGCCTCTTGCCAGTCGTGCAGCATCTGTGACACTTGGTCTGAGCTCCGAATGATGTTGTGACTGATCAGATAGCTCGAAGGAAGCAGCTCGGCAATGGAGCCGAGCGCAAAAAGGACATATGCGAGGAACGTCAGGCGTGGATGCGGTAGGCCTGCTCCAGGTCCGGTCCCGACGACAGGGTTGACGACTGCAGCGGCGCTCTGCTGTTGCTGAGGGTGTTGCTCGTTCTTAGTCTTCGTGGGCGCCAATATGGGTGTGCCGGCGATGCTGCTGACCGAGCCAGGTTTACTACCTGTCTTGGTTTCCAGGCTGTCATAAAGCAGCTCGAGTTCCTTCATGACGAAATCCGGACGGACGAACGGGATGACAACGCCTAGTTCCTCCAGATAGCACTGCATCAGATGCACAGTCTCGTGCTTTCCCGGCAACAGCGCCAGTGCGCGTGATTTAGCACTCGCCTCGAGCATGCTGTCGCGGAAAATCAACTCGGCGCTGATGGCAGCGAGGGAAGAGTTGTTGATGGTACGGCTACCGCTACCGCTGCCACTACCGCCCAGGTGGCGCGGGGATGAACCAAGCGGCGGGGCTGGTGACATTGTGGTTCTGCCCATCCCACCGAGACCGCGACCACTCGGCTCCACCTTGACGTTGCTGGCGTGATCCAACGGAGATCCGTGCCTTCCCAATCCAGCAGAAGGGGAAGGAGACGCTTCAGATGCACCGGCCCCTACCTTACTCGCTGTGTCGACAACGGGGCAGGGGCCCGCTGCTGTCCCTATTGTCCCACCTGTTTCGATCGCAGCCCCGCTGTCGCCAAATACAACCCTGCCATTAGCGGCATTTTCCTTAGCTTCAACAGCGCTGCCAAGTGCAGCTTGCCTAGTCAGCTCGGCTTTGACTGCGCTGCCAACACTGCTGTTGCTGGCGCTGCGTTCCTGCTCTGCAGCAACGCCTGTCGTCGAGCCTGGTGCTTGCGCTCCTGCTGGACTACCCACAGCAGCTCCTGAGCCCGCACCAGCGCTGCACCCACCAGCAAGCATGCTGAGCGTCTCTGCGCTCTCGTAGAGCCGCTGCAGGCCGAGCGCAGCATTTGTGGTATCGGTGCTGGACAGCGTGTCCATCAGGTCATCCGTCTCCTCCGGATGCGTGCGCGATGAGGGTGTGTGGCTATGGCCTTTGCGCTGCATGCTCGTGGGTGCCGAAACAGCAGAAGCAGACGTGGACGATGTGGAAGAAGCAGAAGCTGTTATTGATCCTTGCGCTAACCCTGATCCGGGCCTTGATGCAGAGCGTGCCGATCTTCCAGGGGACAGTGCGCGCTTGAGGGCAGCGGTTCTGGAAACCTCGTGCGCCTGGGCGAACTCCAGCGCAGGTATGAGCGTGACGTCTTCTGGCGCGGTCCGCCTCAGCGAGGACATGGTAGCGCCGAGTGCTCTGGGAGCTCCCACAGCAGCGGGTAAAGAAGGCCCACCTTGGGTGGCTGTGCCGGCGAGCAAGGGTGATGCGTGCCCTGAAGAGGGACAAGATAGCGCGCCAGCAGGAGCAACCCCATTGCGACTCGATGACATGGCGGCGACGAGCGCAGCGATGCTGTGGGCGCTGTTAGATTTGGCAATATGCTGCGCCTGCGCCTGCGCATGCGCGGCGAACGCATTGCTGCACGCTTGCGCTGCGATCTGCGCGTGTTGCGCCGCGGAGAGCGACGGGAATGCTGCTGCTGCGATGGCCGCTGCTGTTGTTGCAGCGGACGCAGAAACGGCTTGAGTAGAGGCGGATGTGGTTGCTGCGGCAGTGGGTACGACGCCTAGGCCTGCCCCGCCTGCTGCGTTGCTTCCTCCTATTGGTATCCCTCCCGCACCCGCTGCTACTGCCGCTTGCGCAGCGACGGCGGCGGCTGAGCGCAGCGCCTCGAGATTCGGCACACCGCCCACGCTGCTGAGGATAGGCACGCCTGCAGCCGGCAGGGGACCCGATAGTGCAGGGCCCCCATTGCCACCGGCAGCGCAAGAAAAATGTGGCATGGATGTATTCGGCGTCAAGGAAGGGGTCCGTGACTCTCCGGGGAGTGGACTGCCCACGTGGCTATTCTGGGAAGAGAATGAGGAGCGAGGCTGACCCGGTGTGCTGTAGAAGTCTCCTGCACCAGTTCCAGCGCCAACGCCGGAGCTTTCGACGCGCTTGCGCGGCGGTGCGAAAGCGGAGAGCAAGTCTCCATCCCCTTCCTCCTCCTCGTCATCTTCGTCGCTAGCATCTTCGTCGCTACTCTGCTCATCATCGCTCCCTTCTGACCGGCCGCCAATCTTTTGCTGTAAATGCTGATGCTGTTGCCACCCAGACACGTCTCCCTGCCCTGAAGATTCGCCCGCGGCAGCCGCCTTGGCCGCTGCGGCTGCCTGTCGCTTCTTTGCGCGCTTGGAGGACGCGGCGGCCATCCGTGCCAGCCTGGCATCGCGCTGTTCGGGTGACTCGAAATCGCGCTCGTCGCCAAATTTGCATCGGCCTGGTGGGAGCTTGCGCTTGATGCATGCCGAGCAGCCGGGTACTTTGCGGTCGCATCTGCGAGGGCGTCAAGTGGAAAATTCCGCTCGTCAGCGCTTGTATTACCACAAACGAAGTGATCCAAATCAAGAGACGCACTTTAGTTTCCTCTGCCTGCATTCTGTGCAAGAAATAGCCTGCCTCTGCTTCCTCGGCCGCTTGGCCCCGGCTACCATCTTGACTTGAGCCTGGTTGCCGTTTTGCTCAACAGCCGGCGAGGCCGATGAGGAAGCGGGGCTGGAGGCCGAGCCTGATGCGGAAGATGAAGCAAACATTGTGCTATCCGCGACCTAGCTCGTCAGCCGTGGTCACTGTGCTCTTGCGTAGGATACGACGAGAATAGAATCGAATCGCGTCGCAGACGCGACGCCCTCCCCGTGGGCGCGCCCCCCGGCAGCGAGCGTCCCCTTGGATAGTGTTCCGGCGCTCGAGCAGCCCGCAGTAAAATATGTACGCTAATTGACCCGGCGCGGGGCGATGAGCCGTGGATGTGTTGTCACCATTACCGTGTGCACGTGGCCATTTAGCACGAGTGAATATCTTGCAAGTTGGAATGACAATTGAATGGAAATCAAAATGAGGATGACTCTTTTGCGCCGCATAGAATTCTTTCTTTTCTGCTTGGGCCGTAAAAGAAAGAGCGTTTGCACCGAATTACACACCAGCCTGCGTCTTTTGACGACAGCTGGGCTTCAATCTCCGCATTCATAGCATCAATCAATTCAATGGAGGGAGTGGGGGTAGCCCGCCTCGATGAAGGGACCTGCAGTCAGCCTCTCTCCCCTCTTTCCGCAAGGAGCCAACGCGATTACTGAGCGTTAGTTGTCTGTGCACCTTTGTCGTGCTTCGAATGGTAAGCACGAGATTGCGTAAGGACGACCAAAGACGCTCGACCGACTCGTAGGTGATGGCAAACTTGTCGCGACAGCGTGTAGAGTAATTGAGCTGACAGCCAAGGGAATGGCCACTCACGTGCCAAGCACAATGGATCACCGTACGCGTTCTTTCCAATCTGGGAAGTAAGACGAAGGAAAGAATGCCGCGAAGGCGTACAGCGCCTGTGACATCGGCCAGCTTAATGACGGAGTGAATCAATAAACGTTGCAGACTGCAGTACACTGACGTGCTTGTGAACCAAGTGTTGCCATGTAGATTTTGTACGGATGCCATGGTGACGCGACCCGGTCAGACCTGCTGGGCGCCGCTACTGAGACTGACGAGACGCGACAACATGTGTTTGTATTATTGAAACTATGCCAAAGCTTGTAAACGACAAGCTGGGCTCGTCGATGCCAGTATCGTTGCATCTAACTTTGACCTTCAACGTGGAGCGCCCACATCCGTCAGAAGATAGGGCCATAGCTACGGACGATGGTCGTTCTCGAGATGAGCAACCTCCCAAAGAAAGTCGTCGAGACGAGCAACCTCGAGAAGAAAGTCACGATGACGATTTCATCAGTCCAACAGCAACAGCAAACCGCATCCTTTGTACCGCCGGTCCTGCCTTGGACCAATCCGCACGACAGCTATGCAAGCCGCAAGTAGGAGTTTTTCCCCTTGGCGAGCCGCGAGACTGATGCGATTTCTCGTATGAAGGTCAAGAATCACAGCCTTCATTCAATGACCATCAGGAAGAGGCGCGACAGCATATTGGCCGCGCTGAATGCGTCAATGCAGACCGAATTAAGAAGCCACGCAAGCCAACGATCCTCAGCTTTCTCTTCCAGAATCAGGTTCAAGACCGGAAGGCTGCTGTTGCTGCTGCTTCAAGTACGCCAGCCGAAGCGGCGGAGCTCACGGCATTGAGCATTGCTGATTTGCCTAGTGCGTACACTCCATGTCGAGAATTCACAAGGAGGCTGGAACTGGATGGTGTACCGATGGAGACCTTGTGCTACCACACAGATGGCAAGAAGCGTGCAGCTGCTATTATTTGGGCAACAGCAACCTACATTCGCGCCATGTCCACGGAGGAGCAGGCCGCGCTTGCTGCGGAGAATGACGCTGCACATGCGTCATCTCGCGGTGGTGCCTCTCAGGGGAAAGAGCTCACTGGTGCCAAAGCTGTAAAGCAAGCTTTCGAGCGCACGGCAGCTGTAGTGTAGGATCTGAAGGCTTTGATGTTATGATGGTGTTTTACATCATCCAGCGCTGAAAGAGTGAAGTGGACTTCTCGGGGGGGAGGGGGGTTGACAATCATTTACCAAAAAAACTGGCTGCGAATGTCCAGAGCAATTGATAGAGCCCTTTGCAATATTCAGATAGACAGACCAGTCGCGTAGGTTCCTTAGATCCTGATGCTGATTAACTTGACGTTTGCGACGACACTGAGTTTGGAAGTGTAGACTGAACGTATATATTGATGGACTTGTTGATGTTGTGGAGACTCCTCGCTGGCAACTGCGCCTCGAAGACTCTGAAGGCACTAGCACAGTCTCCTGGGATAGTGTCTTATGATTTGTGGAACGTAATCCATATGGAGAATATCCCATTTTAAAGGTGTTGAAATTGCATTTTTGGTACGTTTTACTCTTTAAGGAACGTTTTTGGCATGTAATGTTTTTTGCTTCCAGAGCATGTAACATGGGCGTCTCAGGTCCTCTCTCTCGGTTCATGTACTCATAGACCATACACACTTGCCTCTTCCTCGTTCCCGTCATCATCACCGTCGCCTTCCGCTGCCTCGGCCCCGGCCCTCCCTCCCGCCCCGTACTTATTCCGAGGCGGCTTGTTGATCGTTGCACATCATGCCCGACGCCGGCTCCAGTGCCGGCTTTGGCGCTGGTTCTTCCAGCTCCAGTTCCAGTTCCAGTTCCAGATCCAGTTCCAGCTCCCTAACCTCGCCCTCTTCGACAGACGGCATCAATGCCCTTTGCAAGCCTGCAGGAGCTTCACAACGGAAAGCCAGCATCACGCGAACCCAGCTGGCCCACCGCATCGCACAGGGAGAGACGCTGGTCCTACACGCGCACAGGGTTTACAAGCTCGACAACTGGCTCGCCCAGCACCCCGGTGGCGCTCTCGCCATCCTCCACTTTGTCGGGCGTGACGCCAGCGACGAGATCGAGGCGTACCACTGCGACCAGACGCTGCGGCGCATGAGTGCCTTTGTCGTCGCACATTTCGACCTGCAGGACCAGCCGCTGTACAAGCCGCTCGTTCCCCCCGTACAGCTCGGTTACAGAAAGGGTCGAGGGCTCGATCATCCGCACGCCCATCTCGACACGTGGCAACGCTACCTGGACCGACGTCCCACAGCTGCGCTTGCTACCGGACAGCAGACATCTCCCGCAGCACTTTCACCAGCACGGCCCACCGACTTTCCTCTCCCCGTAGAGCTCCTTGAGCCTCCACCAGACCCACCGTGCATCGACGCGACGAAGGAAGCGCAGATCTCGCGTGCCTACAAACAACTACATCAGCAAGTCAAAGACGCAGGACTGTACCAGCTTCGGCCGATCGGCTACGTCCGCGAGTGCACACGTTACGCACTCCTCGGCCTGCTCGCGTTCTACTTTTACGCTTTTGCCCATGGCCGCACATCCTATTTCCTCCTCTCTTCTACCTTCCTCGGCCTCCTCTGGCACCAAGCAACCTTCACCGCTCACGACGCTGGCCACAGCGGCATCACGCACAACCATGCTGTAGACAGGGTTATCGGAACACTCATTGCCGACTTTCTCGGTGGTCTCAGCATCGGCTGGTGGTGCGACAACCACGACATACACCACCTCGTCACCAACCACCCAGAACACGATCCAGATATTCAACACATGCCCTTCTTTGCCATCAGTCCAAAATTCCTTGTCTGGCAGCGGGACGGCCCTACTTCTCCAAAAGTGGAAGAGACCAAGGCGGGAGAGGAGGAAGAGAATAAGACGAGCAAGGCCGATCAAGACACCGTCACTATCGGCCTGTGGAGCAGCTACTACCGCCGAGTCCTTGCCTTTGATGCTCCCTCGCGCCTGTTCCTCCGCTTCCAGCACAAGCTCTACTATGTGGTTATGTCGCTAGGTCGCTTCAACCTCTACAGCAACTCCTACTCCTTCCTCCTGCTCCAAGCGCGCCGCGACAGGTGGTTCTACCTCGAGCTGCTCGGCTTGGCCTTCTGGACGCGCTGGTACATTTTCGGCGCACTGGCACACCTGCCGAGCTGGAAACTGCGAATCGCCTACGTGCTTATCAGCCATGTCCTCACCTCCCCGTTGCACATCCAGATTGTCCTGTCGCACTTTGCCCAGTCCTCTGACGACCTCGGCCTGAGCGAAAGCTTCGCCAGGCGCCAAATCCGAACAACCATGGATGTCCAGTGCCCCACATACCTCGACTTCCTGCACGGCGGCCTTCACATGCAAGTCTCCCACCACCTCTTTCCACGCCTGCCGCGGCATAACCTGCGGGAAGCGCGTGACAGGTTCGTCAAGCCTTTTGCGCACAAGTGGGGGATCGAGTACGAAGAGTACGCCTTCGCAAATGGCAACGGGAGGGTGCTCAAAGTCCTGCAGCAAGTCGCTGAGCAGGTCGACCTCCTTGCTAAGGTTGCCAGGGCGCAGGCAAAGTGCAAGCTGCACTAGAAGTATAGACGGGCACAATCCGCGCCGTCCTGGTAATCATTTTTGTATTTATCGACTAAGCATTCCACGTTTGCATATACCTAGAGGTGAATGTGCTTTCCTTGACCTGCTTTGCCTACATAGGGACGGCACATCGGGTGCAGAGAGCGAGGCTCACAGCATACCTTCCACGCCTGCCTCTTCGTCCGCCCGCAACTTTCCGCCTTCCTTTTGCTCGCGTTGCGTCTTGGCTTTGGCAACTGCCGCCACTTTCTCTTTGTGCGCGATGATCTTGGCGATGTACTCCTTGGCGAACTTCTTCATCTTGCCCCGCTTCTCCTCCGACAGTGTCACTTGCCCGTCTTTCGGCGGCCATTCTCTTTCCTTGGCTTTCTTCAGCTCCTTGGCACAGATCAGCTCCGTCAACTGATTCCGTGGAAGGGGGGGGGCGGAGAGGCAAGGCAGTCATAATCAGCGTCTGTCGCAGACTAAACTTTTAATATCCGTCATAACCTTCCGTGAGATCTCTCACCTCCTTCGCATGTCGCTTGAACGACTCCTTCTCAAATGACTTTTTGTGCTTGGACATAGTTGCCACGATCAACTCGCCAATCTGCTTGTACAGCTTGCGCTCCGGCGTCTTTACGGTCTGACGTGCAATCTCCTTTCGCCGCCTCTTGTGTGGTCTCGATGAATCTGTCGGCAGAACACGTGCTTGCTTGCGCAGAGCCCGATCCGCTGCGGCAATTGCGCTCGCTTGCGCAGACGCCAGAGCCTCTTCTTGCATCCGCCGCTCCAGCTCTGCTCTCTGCTTAGCACGATTGATGATCGCCGAAATGCTCGGCGTGGCTTGACGAGCAGGCCAAAATTGTGCCTCGCAGATGGCCTCCTCTCTCATCTCGGCCTCAGTCGGCTCTTGCATGGCTACGTCCGTGGGAGCATCTTGTGTGACAGCATCGGCCACTGTCTTGAGCATAGTCACTGGTAAAGGAGCGGCACCTTGACCCAAGAACGGTGATACTTCGGAGGATGACTCGTCCGCTGTGGGTTGTTCCGCAGGGCCATCCACATCGAAGTGTTCGTCGATGTGTGCTGCATGATGTCTTCGTGCACCAGGCCATACCATGGGATCGTCAGCAAAGCCCTGCCCTGACTCTCGCCGAGCGATTCGGTAGCCGACAGTTAACGCGTTCCACATGTCAGAGACTGATGTGGCCACCTCTGCAATATCCGCATCGCTGGAGCTGACAAGCTCCTTGACTTGTGCTGCAATACCTGTGTCGTTGACTTTGTTACGGGCGATCATAGGCCACCGAGCAAGACAGCCGAGGGCGAGCATCACCACATCCTTGTTGTCCTTCCACTCTTCAAGGACGCCAGCCATCAACACGAGGCCGTGCAATTGTACGAATGCGCGATTGACGTCTGGCTCGGAAGTCAGCTGTATTCGCGTGAGCAGCATCGGAAGAATGCGAGGATTCGAAGTGGCTTGACGCGTAGCATTGACAACCATCGCCACATCCTCCTTGGGTACAGGGCTCAGCGTTGGCTATCAATAAATTCAGTGACGTGCTGGTCAGCGATTTGTGAAAGTGCGAAGGCAAACCGCGTGGCCTCACAGTAAAGTCGATACCGAGTTGCTTGCTCTTCTTCTGCTTCGATCCTCGCGCACCGGCCATATCCACCTCATCGCTAATACCAAGAGCTGCGTTGGGATAAATTTCAGCAACGTGCGCATCACATCCCAGAGATTTTAACGCACCATCGATAAAGAGATCATCCATGCCTGCAACATCCGTTTGCGTCTTCCCACCAATTGTACCAACGCAGTTGGGCTCCCCGCAGTAGCACGGCTGGGCGTCGTTGCCGTAGCGATCGACATTGTAGTTGAAGCTCAACTCCTCGCCGGCGATGATCGGCCTCTTGGCAAAGATACCCATACGCATGTGCTTGCCGACGTGCCATTTGGAGACGTAGCAATTCGGATTGCAGCTGTGATTGATGAATCTGGCTTTCCCGCCTACTTTGGTGGCATCAATGTACTGAATGCGTGAAATCGAGGACAGTCAGTTGAACGCTCATACCTGCAAACGCAACCCGAGCTTGACACACCTCTTCGCGGGCAAGGGCCATGAAGTAAAAGTGCTCCAAGCCTTCGTCCTTGTAGGCTTGCATCCTCTTCAGGAAGCTGTTCTGAGGGATGATCTCTCCGATGTATTCATAAACAAAAGCATCGCTGAGCGTGCCTGAGAGTCAGTATTCACTTTTCACAAGGTTTCAAAGCGATTACTTACGCTTCAATGCCATATGTTGCACGCAGACCGAAACCCTTCTTCTCGGTCCTGACAATGTCCACTTGAGCATACTGCTTCTTCTGAAACCTGTTTTTGTGACGGAAGGAAGTAGCACAAGGTCCTGAGCTTTAGAACATCGTCTGCCAGCACAATGTGCTTACCTCAGGTTTTGACAGTGCTCTCTGCACAGACAGGTTTCCTCGCAACACTCGATTTGTGTCAGCCGGTTGATGCATTCGGCCTCATCACCGCAAGCGACGAGACCGCTGAGCTGCTCTTTTTCTATGAGAAAGAAATTTTTAGTGCCGAACAGCTCGCCCCATGTCAAGTTGCGAGCATACGACCCGAGCACTCACTCGGATTAAAGACACAATCGCAGACCATCCCGTCCATTTGCCCTTTGCTGCGGCCGATCTTATTGGAGAAGTATACGTTGGATTCCACTTCTCTGAAGGTCTCAAGAGCCTCCTCATCGACTTTTGGAAGATGCGTAACCAGCTGCGCGCCGGACTCATGCTTGCTCCTTCTCTTGGTCGGTTTGACATCAGTTCCATCGTCCATATCAGTGCCATCGTCTGACATGTTGTCCCATGGATCGGAGTCGCTGGGCGATGCTAGTCGGTGCTCCTCCTTGACAGGTCGAGCTCGCTTCAGCTGTGGGGCTATTGGCGGCTCGTGTGGTATTTGCGATGTCAATTGTGGGTATCTCTGCGATTCGGGTGCCGCGGCTATGGATGAAAGGATTCAAGTTTGCGATTGAGCACTCGAGACACATGGAGGTGTGCACAGCTATAGTTGCACTTACCGGTGATAGCGATAGCTTTTGCACTGGGCATGGCGGCTTGTCTCTCCTGTTTCTTCGCAGTGCCGTTGGGATGGCTGGGCGCATGTATGCTCTGAATTGGATGCTGTGCGGGCATAATCTGAGTTGAAGTTTCTGCGCCGTCTCTCTGAGTTGAAATGGGACCGACCTCCTGAGGGTTTTCTTGACCTGCATCCTCATCCGTGTCAGCAACCCTTTGCTGCCCCTCCACATTGCCACCCCAGCACCCGTGGACACCCAGAGCAGTTACATTTTCTCCCGTACGCCCTTTCTGATTTCGGTAACAGGGCTCCCGGGAGAGCGAATTGGACCACCTCGACTCGTTTCCGCGAGAGTAAACAGTGTCCCCGTAATCAAGCCTGGACCAGTCTTCCCTTTGGATAGCCCGGCTGTTGCTCGATTTTGATGACAAGCCCGACCCTCCATAATGCGAAGTTTCGCCAATGTGATGCACAACGCTATCATCATCCCAGCCTGGTGCGGTTGCTCCATTTGGGCCGCTGGTATGGGAATCTGTGTACTCCGATTTCTTCGGAGAACTTGACGAGGCTAATTCTTGCACACCCCAACTGGGGCGCTCAGCGCCATTTGTTACGGCGCTGCCAGTCCCGCTCCTATCGTCAGTCCCTGTGGCAGGCGCTCCCCAACGTCGTGCGCTACCGAGCGGCTTGGCATTCTCGCCGGTGCGTTCTTTCTTGCTGAATGCCATCTTTGACAGGTAGTGCACTTAAGATTCTTGTGAAGGGGTCCGTCTTTGATATCGCGACCGCACCTGGGTAGGCCTGCCGGGTCAACCTGCTGGGCTCAGCAAAAGCGATCGCACGTCAAACGTAGTCTTAATTCTCGGCGCTTCTGATGACAACGAGCCGGCAAGGATTCAAATTGTTGCCAACGAGCGGTGTGATGCTGTGTTGAATGACATATGAGTGTCAACGACAAGAGTGGTGGTGAATGCTGCCGAGGTCACAAGTGAGAGTGCTCGCAATCCGCGGTCCCCTACACGAGATGCCGCCACAAACCACCGAATTGTGACATCTGTTGCTCACAGAATTTGTTGACAGCCTCGTCAAATAGGGTCGTATTGAAAATACAGAAGAGAAACAACTATGCTACAGTCAAGTGGTCGTCCCACTACGATATCTCGTTATCGTTCAGAATTCTTCGACCTCGATCTCATGTCCGCAATCTCCGCAACGCTGGACGTGTTCCCTCCCGGCTTGGAGTACCGACTGATAGTCGTGGACATGGATCTCATCCTGTCTCTTTTGCCACACATTGTCTCGTGTGCGCCTACGCAGATCCGCTAATTTTTGCGCAAACCTTTTCCCTCGCTTTCGCGTCTTCTCGTCCTCCCTTCGTCGGAATTCCGCATCTAACCCTTCCTCTGAGCCCCATTTCTGCGGGCCGAAGGCGAAATCTTCAACCTGACACCGCAGAAACAACATCATGTTGCTGTACGTGGCCTTGTGTGGGTTCGCTTTCAGCAGATGCGGCAATAATTCGCCATCACGTAACTCCGCTGGTTGAGTACAGAGGTAATGTGAGTTGGCGCGTCCCTCCGACCGCAATTCAGGACGACTTACAGTCTGTCAGAAGATAGTCCTGCCGAGATTTGATGATTCGCATGATTAGCGAATTACTGCCACCCTCTCATTTCTTGAACCACTCACCTCCTTAACTTCCGTCTTCGTCAACAGACTATACTTTTCGGGCTTCTCTCTCATACACATTTTGCAAACAAGCATGCCGAAGACCTTCCTCGTGACATCGTCTATCTCCTTCGTTCCACATTCACGACACTGGGTCTGCTTGTCAGGATCAAGCGATATGCCTTATGATGAAGATATCATAACGTTGCTGTTAGTCGGTTTCGTGTAAGACTGATGCAACCCTGCAAGATGGCACTCACCTGGTTCTTGCAGTGCCTTCGCTCTTTCACGCTCTCGTTCGCGCTCCCGCTTGATGTCTTCCAAGGTCTTGAGCTTGCCTTCCACAGATACGTCCTCATCGATCAGGAATCCGCCTTTGGAGTTGTGCAACTTGCTCAGATCAAATTCGATATACTGTCCGAGACTCTTGTCCCGAGGAAGTGGAACAATGCCTTGATCATGAGACATCTTCTGGCGCTTACTGGCAAACCGAACAGACTCATCGGCATCGCGGGAGGTAGAAGGCCCGGATCGCGTGTCCAAGTTGAGATTGTGTCGGGTTTCCACGCGGATTGGGCCAGATGGGCGCTCATGGTGTGACACCTGTCTCCTGGCTGCAGCTAGTTGCTGAATCCTTGCCTTGGCTGCGCAGGACAAAGATAGTTGTGCTCAGCATACCCGACCTTTACCGTTCACACGCGTACCATTGGGCTTACCTTTCAGCCTATTCTCTCTCACCAAACGAATCTCATCGGGAGTTGCTGGCGACGCCGGTTGCCTGCGGTGACAAGCCAAGAAAGATCAGAGAATCTACCAACCCAGCAGACTGCGAAATGCACACGTACCCTCCCGTCTGGGCGGAAAGAGCCAGTGCTCTGCCAGGCTCCATCTCGCACTGATGCCCACCAAGAGGTGGGCGGCAGAAATAGTCAGAGATTAGGAAAGCGCAGCCAGCTAATTCATCACATGGTCGGAGAGGTACATGGCAGTTTGTTTGAAATATCGGATAACGAGTGGCCACAGAGGCGACCCCAAGGTTTGGAATGTTGTAAAATATTTCGGCCGAGAGAGCCCAGACAAGAAAAGCGGCTTTCGGTGGAGAAAGGGTGCGGTGTCTGAGCACACTGCAATGGCGGGTCCTAGCTGGAAGTCTCGATCCGCACCTGTCCGCCTTCCTCTCACCAGCATGAACAGCAGAGTGAATGTCATTGCATCTTACGGTGCCCAGCTCTACAAAGGGCCTTTGAGCTTGCGGTTGCTTGGCCAGTCGTTCAAAGCCTTCTGTGGCACTGTCTTCAGGTCAAACTTTGCGTTGGGGGCAAGGGAAAAGCAATTGCTCACGATGGCAAGCCACAACCAGGACAAGGCTCCTTCCGTCGAGGAGGAGACCTTCGTCGAGCGCAGTGCCTTCTCGACAGGCATGAGCGCCGCCGGCTTGTCGGCAGGAGCCGGTCTGATAATCAGCGCGGTCCAAAACAGCCTGGGCAAGCACAATGCCGGTGCCATGGGTATCTTCACCCGATACGGGTCTACTATCGCCACTTTCAGTGCGTTCGAACCTCTTCTCCACAGTGAATTTACATTTCACAAGGGCAGCTAACTTGAGTTTACTCGCCGGTCAAACTTTCTTGTAGCCGCCATGGGTGGTGCCTTCGCATTCACAGACGCCGCAGTTGCGAATGTCAGGCAGAAAAATGACCCTTACAACGGAGCCGCAGGCGGGTGTGCAGCCGGTCTGGTCGCCGGCGCTCAAGGTGAGTCTCCTTAAAGAGATGTCCGCTTCTCCCAACACCTGGCTGATTGAGTGTTCCCCTTCTTCTTTAATGTCACCCAGCTCGATCGCTCCCTATGATGTTCGGCGCTTGTGCAGGGATGGCAGCACTGGTAGGGACATTTGACGCCGCTGGGCGATCGATGGTTGGACTGCCGTCCGTATCTTCATATGCTTCGGGTAAAGCCTCGGAGGGTGAGCACGGCCAAGTGCCAGGGGGGCTCAGCTGGAGGGAAGAAAAGGAGAAGAGGAGACAAGCATTCTTCAAGGTGAGGCTATTTGGACCCAGCTTACGGCGAGTCAGCTTGGATTGCTGATTCTCATCTACATCTTAGAAACGCCCGGACGCCGAGACCGAGGAGTGAAGGAGTGTGGAGGCTTCTCTGTATGTTCTAAACACCTTTAAGCATGGCAATAGTAGATGTGAAACCGAGAAAGCACGCAAACCCATGGAGGCGCCTTGAGAGGTACGGAGCGTGATATCTACTGAGAGGCACGAAAGTTCGACAATCAAGTCCGCCAAGGATACAAGCCAACTGCTGGCTTCCTCCTTCCACGTTTTCCTTTGAGTACATGTCCGACACGACCGCCTTCAGCTTCTTAAGTATTGACCAGCATGTTCCCTTTTTGACGTGCGGAGGTCATTTACAGAAGCGTTCACATGCACGACTTTTCGCGTTTTGACATGAAACTCCTACTTCACGATTGTTGTCATCAAGCGCCAGTGGCATCGATTTACCTGGGTCCGGTCTTAAAATCTGTCTCGGCATCTTTGAACTTGTTGTTCGGGCATGAGCCAGACTCGGGTCGCATTAATATCCTTTGCCACGACGTACAAATCAGATCATATGTAAACTTTAAGCCAAATTGGTCGGCATTGGATAATTCAGTGTCAATTGCGAGCGCAAACGATGAGACATGAAGAGCAGAGAGGCAAACATAGGAGACGCGCTGCGTTCCGCAATAGTCCGCAACACGTCGAGGCCATCCATCATCCAGGGCATTATTCATCCTCACAGCTCTTCGCGTTCATCTCAATCGGAGGCGCACTCTGTATCGGCCAGTTGGGTGCGAGATCGTAGACTGTGTGCTTCAGCAATATGCCGCGAGTTCAGCATTTCAGCTGCAGTGTGGGGATCCCCGTATATGCTGTCGACTTTATCGACGATGATGTGCTGGTGTATGCAGGGGGCGGTGGCGCGGGCCGCAGCGGCGTGGCCAACGCAATTGTGAGTCGTGACCGTCGCACAGATGATAATTACAAGGCGCCCGCTAATCGAGGCATTTGAGTTACGTGTAGCGCATTGCAAGGATTGATGGGCCGGGCCAAAGACTTGAGCAACTCGCCGAAATCAAGCTCAGTCGCGATGAAGACGCGCCAATGTGTATGACTGTGGACCGTCAGGTGAGATCTCATATCCACCTTGTGATATTCATGGGCATCTCCTCTGATGCACCTGCATTCGTCAGGGTCAACGTATACTATGCGCCATCAACTCTGTCGCATCAGATATGAAGCAAAGGCAAAATAAATCATTGCGTGTGTTCTCTTTCCAGCTTGGGGAAAGCGATAAAGAAGGGTCGTTGTATGTTCATTTGCACACGTTTGCCGAATGGAGACTTGCTCACGGCTTGGCATCTTGTTTCGCTGCAGCAGCTCGGAGATCAAGCCTTCGGCTTCCTCGGCGTCGCTGAACATCACCGATCCCGAGCATTACCAAGTGCGATGGAGCCCTTGCATGAGTTTTAGCGAGACCCAAAAGCGATACTGATGCAATGTACCCCTCGTCCCATACTACAGAAAGTTTTACGGTTATCACAGCATGGCAGCACTCTCTTATCGGCAGGTACCGATGGAACTGTGAGTACAGGTGGGATAGTCCTGCGCTTCCCTGAACACGGCCGCAACTTAAGGCTTCCCGCGCGCTCTACCAGCTAGCATTGCAAGAGTATCCCTCATTACGTTCACTCTGGCCATCGGACTCTCGAGAATTCGCTGCAACGGAGATCTACGACGGCAGTTTTGCAGAAAGTGGTGCTGCTGTCGTGCTGGCCTCAGCTGCCAAACTAAAAGTGCTCAGCACCGTACCACCTGGGAAAGAAGGAAATGAGCACGGACCCACTGTCTTGCAGACGATACAGAACCCGGCGCTCGGTGGTAACGGCACATGCGCCTTCAGGGCGGCGCGCTTTGGGAGAGGAGATGCTAGCCGTAACAAGCTTTTCACCGTTGTGAATGCAAGTGGTGATGCGGGCGGTAGGGGCAAGCGTAGCGCATCTGCGCGAAAGAGGTGAGATTGCCAAGGCATGCATGATAGTGTGGCTCCTCTTTTCATTGCTGGTGCTTCTCTGTATCAATTTGAAGCTTTGTGACCGCATGGAACGCCGAGACCTGGGATCTGATTGAGACGAAGCATGTGTCGGACAAGCCGGTAACAAGCTTTGATGTCAGGTGAGCTGCTTTGTTTTCCCTCGTAACACACACGCTCAACTGCCGCGCCCTTCCAGCTCCGATGGAACGCGACTCGGCTTCTCAAGCTCTGACCTGAGCGTAGGAGTGCTCGATTCGCACAATCTCAGAGTGAGTCGTTTTGGATGCAACTTGAAGTGCTCGGATTCTCAAGAGAAATACCATCTACGGCAGCCATTGGTTCGAATCCTCAGCGCACACAGTTTTCCCGCAACCTGCATTCGCTTCAGCCCTTCGGGCAAGTATCTTGTCAGCGGCAGCGCCGACAACACCTTGAGGCTGGTCGAATTGAACAGCGTAGTCACTGCAGACGGTGAGCACCAACGAACGATCATGCTTGCTGCGTCCTTTGGAGCGGAGATGTGCTAACTTCCAGTCATTCCATTTACAGGACTATCGATCCCTTGGACAGTGCTTTTCACACTTTTCCTGCTTATCTTGGCAGTATACTTGCAGAAGGTGCTGTAGTCATGCTAAGCACCCAGCGCCCATGATACCAGAACAGTCGTACAGACTAGACTTTTGCTTTTGATTGTAAATAAAGAAGCAAAGCCATGAAAGGCAAATTACCACAACAAAAATATACCTGCAGCTGCTGTCGAGAGCAAGGCGACAACTGAAGCGGATCCAGCTTGAAGGGAAGCTGCTGCACCGAAGATGCTGCCAGCACTTTGGTCTGGAGATTTCGGAAAGGAGGACCATGATGTCGCGCATCGAATCAGCTGCAAACCCTCACTGAAATGAAAAGTCCGTCGCAACCCACCGATATATCCAGCTGCACTGTGATAATAAGCACGAGCACAATGAAGCAATCCAGTCACAACAGTCCAGTGAAGCGTGTCAGCGTTTCCGTGATCCTTCCAAAGTAACTGAATGCACTCACGTTGTAGAAACGTCCGTATAGGTTGGTACGATGGACACATTGTGTGAGTGATTCATCCCGTTTGCGCCAGCTACGCCTCCGAGAAGGGCAGATCCAAAGCCACAGATCTGGCGAATGTTCGTCACGAGCTGTGGGGCGCCAGTCCCTTTCGGATCTGTGCCCAACCACCAGCATTGATCAGTGTGTTGGCTGGTGCGCAGGGTAAAATGGCACGTTCAGCAACAGCTTTGCTGGCACGCTGTGAAGCATGAGAGGACAAAGACTACTCACAAGCAGTCGACACATTGTGGATACACAGCCTGGAATGTGTCAGTGCAGGCGCACTTGATGACTGCTATGTAGTTCAGCGGGTTGTTGAAGATGGACGTGGCGTTGGCAAAGACGGAGGATGCCTCCATGCAGCTGCTGATGCTTGAGTAGCTTTTCTGGCACTTGCGGCAAGAAGGATACTGCGGGGGGAAAGTGGGAGATCCCAGCTGGCTCAAAGGTACGGATGGCTGGTCATCGCGTCCGGCAATGAAGGCTGGCGTGGGTGCTGGGCTGGCATCGACCTGGTCTTCTGCTTCATCGCTGTACCATTCGAACTTAGGCAGCTCTGTCACCTGCACCCTTGCAGAGATGTGCTGCGCCTGCGGGCTGTGCTTTTGCTGCTGGGGAACACGCCTCTGGGCAGAGAGCCTGCCTACTTCGTGGGTGACAGCCCTGGGAGCAGGAGTCGCTGCGGGCATGGCCGCTACAAAGACAGCACTGCTGACGAGCAGGTAACAGCCAATGAGGAAGATTCGAAAGAAGCAGGGTGCGTGCATTGTTGCTCCGGGTAGGATTCTCTGCACAGGAACGAAAGGAGGTATCGATGATCGTGCTCTACCAGATCAAGTGTAGAGGGATTGTCGTAAGTTGAGCGGGCAGTTCGTAACAGGGTATGGATGCAAAGCTCAATCGTTCGGTCGTCCAGTCATGAGAGAGTTGGTGGTCGTCAAGGAAGCGTGAGGCAAGGTTGCAGCATGCTCATCGGAGCGGCGAGCATGCAGAGAGGTGGTGTTGATGAAATCGAGGTGGATGGCCTCGACTCAAGGTGGTGAACATGGTATGGCAGTAATGATTCATTGTGGCACCCCGAGCCTTGTGATCGAAGAGCATTTGACTTTCTCATCCGTCCCATCCGAAAAGGGGCTATTCGCGGCACACTGTCCCCCAGTGCACGGTATCCTGGCAACACGTCCATTTCTCGTTCCGCCCTCTCAAAAAGTCATCCCCCCATATGCAGCATATATCGGCATCCAGAGGAATATTCGGTGCAATTCCTTCATCATGCTTTATGTTTGTGAAGCCACAGCAGGCATGGCCAACAAGCATTTCGACAAGAGTTCAGCTATCGATGAATTGAATCAAGGTGATGAGATTGGAATGCACCACTGCTGATAGATGAAGGGAATCAATCTCCAGGACCAGATGAATAGGAACAGCAATCTGGCTGTAGGAGCGTGCAAGGTTGCACAATATACGCACGAAGTGGTGCCGGTGGCAGACGAGAAGACTCCCCCTCATCACAGCGGCAATCCCTTCGCCCAAGCGGCCCAGTAACGCATCGAGCACTCTTGGCCGTCGCCACACACAACTTCTAGTTATATACACGAGAAGGCCTTACGCGGTCGAGGTCACGCGACTCGGCACATATCCTCTGTCGTTCCCTCTCAACCGCAACACGCCGATATACGACGTAGATTGCAGACACGATGGTCATCGGGACACCCGATAGCTGGATCGCGCAGCTCAGCCAATGCAAATATCTTCCAGAGGCTGACATGAAAGCTCTATGCGAGCAAGTAAAGCTAATTCTAATGGAGGAGAGCAACATCCAACCCGTACCTTCTCCGGTGACGGTATGCGGCGACATACATGGCCAGTTTTGGGACCTCCTCGAGCTCCTCAAGGTGGGCGGCAAACCACCAGATACCAGCTACATTTTCATGGTACATTGGCCAGCTCCGCTAGCTTTGGGCGTTCTTCTGCAGCTTTTCTCTGACAGCTCAACATAAATGCGGATTGATTCCATTCCACAGGGAGACTTTGTAGATCGGGGTTACTTTAGCCTCGAAACCTTTTCGCTACTCATGACACTCAAAGCAAGGTGCGTGTGCCGTTTGTGAGCCCTGAGCGCTCTCACCACGAATCCGAGACTGACGCATTCCCATTTGTCTCAGATGGCCGGATCGAGTGACTTTATTACGCGGGAATCATGAGAGTCGGCAAATCACGCAGGTCTATGGCTTCTATGGTGATTGGTCCGAAACCGCCGTACCTCGATCAAAGAAATCGGTTTGACACAGTGGTCCTCCTTTCCTCATAAAGACGAATGCCAGCACAAATATGGAAACGCGAACGTCTGGAAAAGTTGCTGCCAGGTATTCGATTACCTAAATCTTGCGGCGGTAAGGACCAGCATTGGGCGTCTCCCTTGCAGTGTTTCGCCCATAGCTCATATCGTGATTTCCACTCATTGGCCCTCACAGATCGTCGATGGACGAGTGCTGTGCGTCCACGGAGGGCTCAGTCCAGATGTCAGGACGCTTGACCAGATCCGGATTATTGCACGCGCACAAGAAATCCCGCACGAGGGCGCTTTTTGTGGTGAGTTCGCTACAGCACATTGCTCGTACCTCAAGGTTGCGCTGACGGTCCTCTCCTTCTCATCGCCAGACCTTATGTGGTCGGATCCAGATGAAATAGAGAGCTGGAGTGTCAGTCCAAGAGGCGCAGGTTGGTTATTCGGAGGGGCTGTGACACAAGAGGTTCGTACGGCCACATTCTCTAAGACCTTCCGTGAGGGGGTTAGCTGACCTCAGACACGCATCGATGCAGTTCAATCACATCAATTCGCTCGATCTGATCGCTCGTGCTCATCAGCTTGTACAGGAGGGGTAGTGAGTGCGATTGTGTTCGGAATCCCACAGAATACTTTCTTTTCTCGACGCTCACATACTCATGTCTTCTGTCTTTCAGCAAACTCATGCATGACGGTCAGATCGTGACGGTCTGGTCGGCTCCTAATTACTGTTACCGCTGCGGAAATGTCGCTTCAATATTCAGCATTCCCGACCTCCTGGCAATAGACAAAGAGGCCAGCAAGGTCGGATTTGATCAGAATAACTTCAAGATCTTTAGCGCAGGTGAGACTCTCGCTTGCCCTTACAAGACAACGTCTCATCATCTTTCCCCCCCATTTATGGTTCTTCAAGTTCCCGACCAGGAGAGGACGACGCCTTCACGCATGTCGTCGTCGCAATACTTTTTGTAGATGATCCAATCCTCGTCCAGCATCTTGCAACTCGCACTGTATATTACAATCATGCAAGAATCTTTGTGGCTTTTACCGCCTCTACAAATTCCCTGATCTTTGTCCCGTCCTTGCGGCCCTCGGTTTCCACGCCACTGCTAGTATCAACGATCAAGGGACGTGCTGCTTGAATCGCACGTGCAACGTTGCCAGCATGCAGGCCGCCGGCGAGCATCAGAGGTTGTCGGGCCGGCATCGTCCCGTGAACAATGTTCGAGACAATGTCCACATTGGCCAAAGTGGAAGCGATGCTCCAATCAAAGGGTTCACCGGTACCGCCGCTACCAGAATCGAGAGCTGCGATGTGATGCAGGCCCGGCCGAAAGACATCCGCAAGGGATGCCGATTGCGCATTAGAGTTCGAATCGACGCTGAATACCCGAATGACCCAAACGCCGGGTAGGAACTTGGCCCACTCGACCGATTCGGTCCGACCATGTAGTTGCACGACATCCAAGCGCAGCGTTTCCGCGACATGCTTGATTTCGTCAAGGGGCTGATCTCGGAACACTCCGACGATGAGCGGTCTATGGGGGTGAGACTTGAGCCTGTTCGCCGCAGTGGCGAACCAAGGCGACGCTGACAACATCGCCTGTTCCGTTTGTATTTTTCCATAAACGTCGCTCTTGGAACTATCGTGTGCACCCTTGACGGAACGAACGACGTTGATAATGTCGGCTGCTTGAGCCAGAGTGACCGTCCGCTTCGTGTTCGGTGCAAGGATGAATCCTAAAAAGTCTGCACCGGCCAGTGTCGCGGTCATAGCGCTCTCTGATGTTTGCAGGCCGCAGATCTTGACCAGTGGGGACTGCATGACGCTCGTATCGCTGTTCTTAATTCCGTTTGTCAACCCAAGAAGCTCGTCGATGAAGCGCTTCTTATCCGAAGATCGCATGAGCGCCTCACCGACAAGCACTGCCTTGACTCCTTCTTTCTGATACTTGACCACGTCGGCACGGCCCGAGATCCCGCTGAGGGCGCACAGAATCACGTTGTTCGCTTCAGCCACTGACGCCAGCCTGCTTGTCGTTTCCATGTCAACCTTAAAATCATGTAAATTACGGTTGTTGACTCCGATGACTTTCGCGCCAAGCTTCAGGGCCCGCTGCATTTCCTCGAGATTGTTGACTTCAACTAAAGGTTCCATGCCCAGAGAGCAGCTGTATTCGTAAAGCACTTGCAGTTGTGCATCTTCGAGCATGGCAACGATCAGGAGAACCGTATCCGCACCTGCCAAACGGGCTTCCGCGATTTGATAAGTATCGACGATGAAGTCTTTTCGCAAGATGGCGGGGCGGTCCTGCATGCTGTCAATTGCACGCCTTGCAAGGCTGAGGTCGTGCAGGGTTCCTTTGAACCATTTCGGCTCGGTGAGTACCGAAATGACGCTTGCTCCACCCTTGGCATAAGCAGCAGCTTGAGCACCGGCGTGAGCTAGCGGGTCGATGTCGCCCTTCGAAGGCGATGCTCTTTTCATTTCTGCCATCACCCCTGGCAATCTTCGTTCCGCGTTTCTGATCAGCCTTTGTGGGAAGGATATTTGTGGAGGAGCCAAATGCATTGCCAGGGCAATGTCAAGGTCCCTCTGCGAGAAGCCAGGCTGCGCCTTCGTGGCAGCGATATCCTTCAAGCGCTGGGCATGGATGCGCTGTAGAATGGTTTCGAGCTTTGGCGCTATCTTGGCACTATTTTCCGAGTCGCTTCCGTTGCTAGTAAGCTGGCTTCCTGTAAGCATCATCGCCATGATTGGTGTCTTCGTGCTCTCAGCATGTGCGATAGCTTCCGCATCGATGAGAGCTTGGGAGCAATCGGCCCAGGTGCCAGATTTCCAGGAGAGAAAGTTACGCATCATCTCCTTGCCTCCTTTGCTCAGGATGCTCTCCGGATGGTACTGCATTGCCTCGACGGTGTAGCGCGTATGCCTGATTCCCATGACGACTCCCGAGTCCGTTTTGCTGGTGACGACTAGTTCGGACGGCAAAGATGAAATTTGTGCAGCCAAGGAGTGATATCGCGTTCCAACCACTCCGTCGGGATCCAGACCTGCATAAAGCCCTTTTCCATCGTGAACAATCTTGGATGTTTTTCCGTGCAGAATTTCGCCAGCGAATTCAACCGTGCCGGCGTATGCTGCATAGATGGTTTGCAGACCCATGCAAACTCCCATCATGGGGATTTTACCAGCAAAGTGCTTGATGCACTCTATGCTGATCCCTGAGTCAGTCAGAGGGTGCCCTGGCCCTGGGCTGATGACGATGTTCGCTGGCCGGAGAGCCTCGATCTCGTTGACTGTGACCTTGTCATTCCTGAAGACAATCACATCTGCGCCAAGCTCAGAAAGGAACTGTCGAGAGGTTGCACAGTGATGTTGTTACGTCAGGCATGAAAGTGCGCTGCGATGGCGGAAGAAAATTGCTCACCTCGACGATGTTGTAAGTGAAGCTGTCGTAGTTGTCGATCAGCACCGTCTTGCCTTTGTACGCTTCATCCGCGCCCAATGTAGCATGCTCGCTCGAATTTCCATTGGCCGTAGGAGCCAAGGTAGAAGGCGAAGCAGCATTCAGCGGCTCCCTCGAGGACGTCACCCCTCCGGCAATGTATTCGGCAGCAGCAGGAAGCGGAGCGGGCATTTTCTCGGAAGCAGGGGCCCAACCTCGAACAGCGAATGTGGCCTTTCAGTGTTGTCAAGGCTCATTGACCTCAAGCTCCGAGTAACCAATCGTCCAATGAGCCAAGCGAGGTTATAAACAACGGTGTATATGGATTGGGAAGACCCCATCTGGACATTGACGACAACCTTCATAATTCTCTCATGGCCAAGAGTGAGGCAGAGGGGCGGAACCAGCTCGAGTCACATCATCATTTCTCCCTCAAGATGCATCTCAGGCCCCATCATTACATGCACTCGATTAAGTTGTTCATCACAATAACTCCCGGCGGAAAAGTCTCTCCTCGCTTCTACACTCAGGGGCTGCAAGCCAAACAGCCAAAGGCAGTTTTGGATGGGTCGACAGACCTGAAAAGTGCGTTCCTATTTGAGACTACGTGCCAGATCGAGCACAAATGGGCCTGCGAGCGCGTCGTCCAAAAACCGACAAACCATCAAAGTCTGTCTTTCGACCAGTCCTATCAAGCCCTTTCTGTCTCGACTGGTCGGTAGTCTTGCAACGTACGATGAGACAGGAATGAGCTGATTGTATGCTTCAATCCCCAGGCCGCAAGATGCATTCGAATCTACTGATCAAATGAAGTCATGGGCCCACGAGCAAGATTTTCAGGCGTCCAGAGGTGTCATTGGGATCAATCAATGCACCAGAGTGCTGGAACAGCACATTCGGCATCTCCGCAAGAAAGTCATGCCATCAGACAAGGATGATCAAAAACAACATCAAGCATGCACTGAAGAGACAGCTTTGCAGCCACAAGAATGTGACGAAGCAAATTCGCTGTTGCTGTGCCGCCATGATGTCGACCCGGCTGGCTTGACAGCTCATATACCGGTCCTGTTTGCAACGCTTTCTGCGCTCCGAAGGAAATTAGGGCTGCGCTGCTGGCAATTACTGGTGCTTCCTCGGGGGTCTGAAACTACACTCGCGGCCAAAATGTCCGTCCGGCGCTGCGCGGCTGTTCTTTTTCCGAGGGATGTCCTTGTGAGGTCATGCATCAAAGAAGCACACGGACAGCCTGCCATGACATGGCTTGATTCCGCCATGTCAGCTTCTATACCCAACGCTTCCCTCCCGGAAATGACCAGTCTGAGTCCTGCCCCTCCGCAGATCAAGCTGATGCGGTGCCGCGCTCCGTTGGACATGAACGCTGTACGGGCGGAGAAGAGGGCGTCTAGGAAGCTCGCCCGAGAAAGGAGCAAGGTTACCCGGCGGGGTCGGCCTCCGAAGTGAGCGACCTCGGTCGACCGATTGATCCGAATATCTGGCTCTCCGAAAGGTCGCATGTGTATGACAGAATCGAGAAAGTATTTATTTCAGGGCCATATTATCGCTCTTGAGCTTGTCCGTATTGCTCACATCAACTGCACCAATTTGGAAGCAACTTGAGCTTCCTTTCGCTGCATCCTGTGAAGATACAATGAGCGACTCTTATGTATCGTAGAAATACATACTGTGATTTGTAAAGAATTTCGAGTGGTTTACATGCGGAGGCACCCACCATGTATATATCTTATACTTGCTCTGTGACTTGTTGTGAGCCTGGTGTGACCCCGCGGCCTTTAATAGCCTTCAATCATTCGCTCTATGAGTTTCACATGACTTCGAAGCATGTACGTGGCGACATCCGTAAAAACGTTATATTCAAGCGTGGCATTTGACGCACTCCCTTGTGCACAATCCAGTGACAGGGCTGTATGCTGACGCTGAAAATTATAGGAAGACGACTTACACCTGAGCTTTTGTCAGTGAGGTGGCTGCCCCGACAATCTTAGACTCGCCTCTCCTACAGCACCTTCCTAATCGCTGCATAGGCGCGTGCTGCGGCTTGCGCAACGGCCTCGTCGTCGTTGCTGTTGCCTCGCTGTGTCCATTTTTGCGAATATGGTGATGGCTCCGCCTCGAGATAAGAAGAAGCCGAGGGCATTCAAGACAACCACCGCTGTTGCTGCCGTAGATGTGGCACACGTTTCGCCTGCAGTTCCGAAAGGCACTTCGCCAAAAGTGAATGGCAAACAGTCGCTGAAAGCCGCAAAGGTGACGAACGGTGGCCGCAGCGAGGAGAAACAGGATGGAGATCCCGAAAGGACCACAGCAGATGCTGGCGAGCCGAAAGACGAGACCTCAACAGGGCAAGAACCTGCTCTGGACGAAGACGATGCGTCGACCGATGCGGAATCCAATTTTCACGACGCGGACGCTGGCCAAGAAGGCGAGAAGGACGATGATTCATCGGCATCGAGGGACTCCTTGACCGAGACAGGCCACATCCTGCCCGTTGCAGGCTCAGACCAAGCCGAAAAACCGCGCAGTGACAAGCTAAGCGTGGCGCGAAAGGGTGATGAGGATCCGAGCGCTACCGCAGGGTCGCCATCCTTCAGCGTACAACCTGCGGAGGGCTCTCAGGCTGCAAATACTGCTTCCGAAAGGCCTGGCTCGTCCATGTCCTCAACGTCAGAGCCCAGCGTCATCAAAGTGACAGACCACTCTGATGGTTCGAATGAAGAGGCAAGCAGCACAGCCAATGAATTTCGTCGACAGCAATTGCCGAGCACGAATGAAGATGTGCCCGCGGATTCGAATGACTCCATCCCTCGACTGCAGCAACCTCTGCCCCAGACACCCGACCTCGCTGCTCAGTCATCTGCCTCACCTTCCTCATCAACTGCCAAGCGCTCTCTGTGGGGAATGCTCAGTCCCCGTGGCAGCAGCCAAGGCGTGGGAACGTCTCCAACTTGGTCTCCATCGGCAGACTTTCGGCCAAAGCTTGCTGCTTCCTTGTCGAATAGCCTCTCCTCGTTCACTGCTGGACTCTCCGCAGTGCGTAGGGGAAGTGTTGCACCGGCGTCCTCAGAGCGCGTGCGGCTGCCTCGTCGTGAGGTTGATGAAGCGCAACTTGCGGAGGACGTGATGCGCTTCGCAGACGCTCGACACGTTCTGCGGACAGTGACTGATGGCAACAGGCTTAGAGATTTAGGAATTCGCCTCGAAGAAGGTTGGCGAGAGAAAGTAAGCTGCAACCGGTGCATTGATTCATGCTTTTGGTTGAGCGCTGACAAAGTCTTCTCGTTCAGCTTGCCGAGGCACAGTCTCTGCGAGCCCGTCTGGAGGAAGCTCAAGATACACTGGAGGACCTTGAGGACGAAAATGAGCATTTGCGAACGCAACTCGGAACTCTTAGCGAGCAGATCGCTGCGCGTGAAGACGCATTTGAGCAACTTCAGCGCTCAACGATCGAGCACCAGACGAGGGAGAAATCTTTGTGGCGAGAGGAGGCGCGAGAGGAGAGAGAGAACGTTCTTTTTCAAGTTGCAGAGGCACAGCGGCAGCTTGCAGAAGAGCGGGCTGTGACCGCGCAGCTGCGCATTGTGCTGCAGAGCGCAAAGAGCGGCCGTATCGATGTACTTGACAGCATCGATACAGGGGACGGTACGAGTGCACCTGCAGAAATTCAAGATAAACCCTCGGTCGATGCTCGCCAATCTCCGGAATCAGGCGCTGTCCTCCGACGGCAGTCACAGTCTAGCGAAAGCAAGCTCGATCAAGATTGTGGCGAGAAAGTGGGAGATGAAATACAAAATGACGTCCTGTTCAACTTGTCGCACTCTCCGACGTCTTCAAAGCGTTCGACGTCGCTCTTCAGTGAGGTTCACACGCTGCACGGTATGCGAGGAGCGGGGCTCCTCGCAGGTGCAATCGCGGAAGAGGAAGGGAAGACCTACGCCATCGCCACGCAAGTCCTCTTTGATAAAGCTGCCGCCGACGGGGCTCTTACCAAAGCGCTTCAGGAGGAAAATAACTCGTTGAGATCCTATGTTGATGCCAAGGATCGACGCTGCACAACTTTACAGCTGGAAGTCGAAGAGCTGCAGACGCGCTTGGTGCAAACCGAGTCGGCCATCGCCGAATTGCTAGACACAGCACCGCCCGTCTGAATTTCCCGCGGTTCCGATGGTCATCAAGTTCACCCTCAGCTGTGTAACGTTGCCGCATATTTGGGGAAGGCGTCTGCCTCCATGCGTGCTTGAATTGGGTTGCACGTCTGAGCTCGCCGAGCTTCAATTCATCGTGAATGCACTTCGCATCCACCGGCTGCAAAGTCGGGTATCTCTTCTTACTCCCTCGATCCAGGCAGTCATGTGTTTAATGGCCATCATGTATACCAGTAGAAATATCTTTTCGGGCTGTAGCGTTTAGAAGGTGAAAGTGGATCGTGTTTTCAATTTACCTGCACAGAAAAAAATCGTGGAGTCGGCGGCGGGAGCTTAACTATCGGCAATATTCTTGCTATGGGAATGTAGAATGCATCAAGCACGCAGATGAGCCGTGTGAGGACAGGCAGAAAGCAACATGGAGGGATAGTCAGCCGCGGACTGCAACGACATCGTAGAATCACAGCATTTATCTTTCGTAGCCTGTACGAGCAATACTCCTTTGTAACCCGCTGTATCCTAGTTGACTACTATATGTGGCAGGGTTGACATCCTCTTAACACGGTTCTTCGACTTTGTTATTGCTCGTATAGTGCTCTCAACTCATCTTTTACGTCACAACTAAAGGACTACCCAGATCACATTAATAAAGGGTTTGCTGGAATACGTCAAATCCGCAATGCCAAGTTGGCATGATTGGCAGCAACCTGAGAGGAAACATGGGCATTAAAAATGTAAAGTCTCATAAAGGAAAAAAAAGGTGGCAGCAAGAAGACGTGATACCCAAACTTATCATTAGCCTTGAGTCGAGAACTTTAGCTTCAATCTGTCGAAAGGGGTATTCTCGTTGGCTCTCGCAGTTGCAAGTGTAGGCTGTAGGTGTAGATGCTGTGTGACCTCGCATCCAAATGTTTGATCGTAGCTTAAAGATTATAGAGCACCTCTGGCCTTTCGAATCAAGCAGACCATTTTTGACATTTCCTTCGCAGTAGGAAGCCATGCGCAAACACGACCGGGTCGAGAAAACAAGTACATCAGGCCCACGTAGTTGTCGGCTTGGATCAGTATGCCTCCACTGAATCCAGGCCGATCAAAAATTGGAGAGTTTGCGTGGGAACACAACCATAAAACGATCAGATTGCGTCATACCTTGAAGTGTGCCCGCCGGGTATGGTAGAAGCGACGAGGAAGGAAAGAAAAGGGAGCGGTGAAAATAGGCGTACGATATCCTAGCCGACAAGACGAACGCGGATTCACATCCATTTAACAACTTCAATCAAGTATTCCGTCACTCACAGCCCTTGTCAGTTTTGGTGGTCATGAAATGGCGCAGCAGACTTATGTAAGGTTCAAGCATGAATGAGCACAGAATCAGTAATTCGCGCCAGAATACATTCCCTCGTCTTGCGAGAGATTCAAATACCGTGAGTGCATTAGATCATTTACAGGCAAGGTAGGAGGAATAGGCGGGTATATTGAAGATGTTAAAGAAGGATGAAGGAGTAGAGTCACACGGAAGGAACAGAACAAATTGCTACCCGAGATAGGCCAAAAGCCATCTGGATCCCAGATGGCCACTCATTTAACGGGCGCGCGCTACCTCTACTCCCCTGTATCAATCCTTAGAATCCAGAGCTCATATCGCGCAATCGACCACGTCGGCTGCTGCGCAATGAGTTTCCAATTGCTTGCTCTGCAGCGGCTTGGCAAGTGGGCTGGCGATATTGGTGTTGCTGTTGACCTTCTCGAACTGGGCTGTGTCGCGCTTGTGTGCTTCTGGCGCACCCTTGAGTCCTACGCCGTGGTGCCAACTTTTTGCATGCTTTGGATTGCTGAGTACGTGCTGAATTGCGCCATTGTTGTCGAAATTGATACCCATACTCGTTGGAGGACACAGATCCCGAAGAACCCTCTGCAGCGAAACTACCTCATGGGTCACCTCGCTTGGTGCCATCAGCTCTTCCTTCTGTGAAGCCAGCGCAACTTTGTTATGCTTTTGAGACTGATCTGTGGAATGGTCGCATCGAGCTTACTGTACCAGCTCTGGCCTGCTTACCCCAATCCGTAAATGCTCTTGGCCAAACGCAAGTGCTTGCCGGCAAGGGGATAGCACACCGGCGAATGGTTCGAAGAGACCTCCTTGCACTCGGCATAAAGGTAGGCGGTCTTGACGTCTAGTGATGGAGGTGCAGGTTGTTCATAGCCACCAGATCGATTACTATGGGCAGGGTGGTCAGTCGGGAAATGGGAGCATGTCTGAAGTCAGCCCTCCTCGATCCATGAAAAGCGCCTGGTTATTAGCCTCGATATATACCGCTGCACCCTACCGCCGCCTTCGCGTTTGACCTTCAATATCCATTTTGCGTCCACCGCTGGTCTACCCGATGGCAGCTTTACCTCTACGCATGTATCATTATTCTTGATTGCTGTTTCCGACTTGCCAGTATCGTCGCTTCTGAGGGGTTCTGTGTGACTGTGAGGCTCTGCGGGATCGGAGGAAATGGTCTCTGATAAGTAAAATGGCTCCATACCCATTAACTTGCCCGGTGGCTTGCTGGCACGGGCCAGCCTTCTCAAAGTGGGCTCTTGGCGCTCTTCTAAGGAATCCTCCCGCCCTACCTGTTGCGTTGGTGCCTTGCAACGCTCGGTCGCGCACGAGTATGCCGTTGAGACTAATGCACGAACTTAGTCGAACGATATTTTGCGATTACGATAGGCTTCTTCTGAAATCTAAAGTATCCCTCGACCGTTGTGATGCACGATGCGTACCAGGTGATTGCACGTATAGGCAGCGGCTGCTGTGACCAACTCACCCAGGAGTGCTTCCTCCAGCTTCAACTCGCTGATCCATACTCGAACCATGTTGAAGAGAGTCAGAGTGAGGCGTTCAGTGTGCCCGCTTGTTAAGGTTTGTATGGGACTGGCCTTTTGTGTCAGATACAATGGATCAAAGGAATTGCTGCACCCACATGCGGATATACTCGTCGCCATTGTCCGAGCGGATACTCTTCATCTCCTTGCCTGACCCCTCTCTACTCGGCGGATTCAGGTATTGGCTGCCTCGGCAACATTCTTGCGATCTGCTACTTTTTGGACACCAGACCTTGCCCGAACTTCCATTTATTAAAGGTAGGAAGTAGAGTGCACCATCTCTATGCACTCCTTGGGCATAATTCAAGCGCTGTCTCTGTGCACCTCTTTAAATACATGTTGTTCTTTGCTCCCTTTCTGGTGCCGTATGAGGAGAGAGAAAACCTTTCCGAGCGCATACGCTTCTCATACGCGGTCAGTTTCGGTGACAGATAGGCCATTCGCCTTGCAAGTCGTGTTATACGGGTAAACGCCCTGCGCGGCCGAAGCATATGTGTCATAGCCCACCGCCCGCATCTGTACAACCTGCATATGCTGACATGTTCTGAATTGCAATGGTGGTTCAATTCATGACAAGGCGAGCTGGGATGCCGCTCTCCAAACCTGGCCTTACAGTTACTATGCTGTTTCCACTGCCCAAATAGGCTTCACACCATCCTTCTTCAGCGTGCTACAGCCACGGGCTTCCATAAGTTTGTCGTCACTGACAATGATATGGTTCGGCTGCATAACTTCGACTTTAAGTGCATTCTTGACTTGGATGTCGACGACTGTGCCCTTGTCTGGCTTGACACGGATCAGTCCATAGCCGTCCTTGGCCATTGCCCCCATCATGCCGCCATTGGTGTGCTTGCTGACAGTAGAGTCCTTGACCTTGTTGGTGAGTGCAGTGCTTTGAAGGACGAGGTGGTGCAAATGTCCCATGCGGAGAATGTTGTTGTTCTTGACGTGCGTGCGCTGCTGGGAAACATGGCGTAGAGTAAATGATGTCATAGCAACTGTCGAAGCGGCGTGCAGCTTCTCTGCTGAGCAGTGACTTTGCACTCCTTTTTGATCGACATTCTTTTTGCAGGTGGCCATGCTTGCGACCAATTCCAGCGACTTGTCTTTCTTTTGCCACCATGGGTGGAATATTTGTTGAATATGACAGTGCCGACCAACTCGTTAGTATTCTTGCAACGCTAGCGAAGCTCCTCCTGGAGTAGCGTTGGGTCGTTGTGTTCTTTTGGTCACCCATCGCCGAGCTGTTCGAGAAGCTGAATATTATAGTCGAAGCCCGAGTCGAGTCCGACAAGGATCGCGAGGCAATAATTGTTCTCCGAACTGTCGACCCCTTGTGCGTTGAACATGTTGTACGTCGTTGTGAGGGGGTCGAGGTACTCCGATATGCTCTCCCAGGGGTCTTCTTGACAATCCAAAAGTCAGTCTTGAAGGGAGAGAGAGCAACTCCTATGTGGGCTGGAACTTGGCTTCTAACATGCCCCACAGCTCTTTAGCTGTCTTCACCATGCAGACCAAGCCAATTGATCTTATCGTTGTTGATACGCCCCAGCGTCGCCAAGGCCTCCGTGTGTCTGCGCTCGTATTCAACAAAGATGCTGCCGTCAATCAGGCGCTTACTGACCGGGCCAGCCATGTCGCCCCACAAGCCAGTCTTGATCATTAGTATTCCGGCTTTGAAAGTCCATGCATTGTAGTTGCTGCCGTGCAGCTTCTCAGTGCTGACTGTGACCCCAGTCGAACTCGCAATTGCTGAGAATTTGGTTCTTTTCGTCAGGTCTCTTGAGTATTCAAGTCAGGCTTGGATTTGGGCTCGTAAGCTCATGTGGAGAGGGTTCCAGTCGACCAAGATGGAATACCAAATACCTTCACTCTCTCTACGTTACACGGACTCTGGGTGCTACACGCAGCTCCTTATATATATTCGAAGCGTTAGCTTTCATACCCAGCCACTCTAGCTTCGCTTTGAGCTGAAAATTTTCATGACATTTGATGGTGTTTCATGGGTGGTGCCGCTTCGCTGCACTCAGGCCTCTTTGCCTTGCACTGCCGCTGCTCCTACGTCGGCCCGATGGTCGGCCAGTGTCACTTTCTATGTCATAAAACCCGCCAAATGGGCCTCACTCGTCATCACCGACCTTGCCCAATCGATACAGTAAGTAGAAGGACTTTATTGCAGCTGCTTTCAGGTCATACAGTTCTTTCTTTTGCAATCATTTCTTCTCTCGACTCCGGTCCCTTGCGCGCCTTTCATTGACATAACACCTTTTGTTGTATACGATCTACTGGGAAGGTTTCATGCTAGATTGAGCGCATTCCGTGATGGAGAATCGAGCGAAAATCGAAAGGACCCAAGTCCTATTTGCGGTAGTGAGCCATGGAGAGGATTCCAGCCAGGTTATTAACAGGCTACACCAGTTGCGTTCATGCGCTGGTTGCGAGAGCTCGTCGACAGGTTCTTAAGCAGAATTTTCTGGGTTATTGAACAGCCATCTTCGGTGGCTTGATTAAAATCGGATGGGACGTCACCAGGAAGCCTTGGCAACAGAGCCTGAAGTTGCGGCTTCTGCCTTGCGCCAAAAGCGATGCAAGATAGAGCTGCCATCTTGTTGAGGGAGGCACTTTCAGATCTTTTCTGAGACCCTACGATAAAATTGATCGGTGGCAATTGCGCAAGCAAAAGGATAATAATACCATGTGCTAATGATAGGTCGTGCAGTTGAAGCAATTTCTACTTCGTTCCTCGAAGACAATGGCTTAACCAACCCATGCGAGTGCCTTCAATCTTCGCATCGAAACCACAGTGTCAGCAACAAGCGTGTCCACAGTTCGAGTCCGACAAGGACCCCAATACTCAATAACAGGGTGACCGTCACGCCCATGAGCGCGACGTTCCGCCACACGTTTCCTAAGCAGCTACCACTGAACCTCAAATCTATCCTTCGGTGATTATTATTTTTGCTTTTACGGCTACGAACGTGCTTCTAGGACCCTAATGTAAGTGACATGTAACGCTCATCTGTTGAAGACTTGGAGGAAGAGTCCATACTATCTCAAGAAAGCGTTTCCTCGCTGCGAGGCTTCGAGACAAGTGAACCGGTGTCACAACCTGGGGTCCCAAACTTCTAATGCGGGTCTAAGAGCGGGAGGTGAGCGGACGCCCCAGAGATTCGATGGCCCATTGGATTCGATTGAGGCCATGTCGGCTTTCATCTCAACGCCTCGTCGAATACATTGGCATCGTCGGACCGGCATCAGCCATTATGGCAAGATGTCTTTAACACCCCGTGCGCGTGCATATCTCAACGCACCATTGGGAGCGAAGGGACAAGGCTCAAAAACAAGTCAGGCAAGCCCACCAAATTACCAGAGTCTGTTCAAAGATGGTCTGTGTCAAGGACCTCTTCGCTTGTACCGACGCATGTCACTTCTCTCGTGCAAATTTGCCACGGTCGGAGAGAGCTCGAATAACAAGAAATAAGGATTGACGGACACAGCCTTCAGCTCTCGTGCAGGATTCGAAAGTATCATACGATTGGATTCAAGAACCCTTTTCTATCCCCGCGCATGGGGAGACACTGGCATTGCGCGATGGAACGTGGGACTAGTCGCGCGTGGTCTAGTCCCTGAATTAAGATGATACCTGGATGAGCTTGTGATGCTCGGTTTAAAAATAATCTCTGCTGCTGAATTGAAAGAGATGGCCGTTGCCTCCGCTTCGTGCAGCATGATCGAAAACCGCCCTCCCTGGCGGGCGGCGCGCGTTGAGAGGCGGCTGTTCCTCAAAGAAAAGCTCTTGAACTTCCCTATACGTTCAAAGGACAGCTCTTGCTTGCGACGCTCCACTTTGACACACCATTGCACGGGAAACGCCAACGGTCTTGCCGATCAAATATATGTCGCGCTCGTTGTAGAGCTTGTGGGGTTACCTGGCTTGCATTTCAAGGCTCAGCCATACGAGAAAGTCTAAATGTGAAAGCAAGTAGGCGTCAGCTCCAATTTTGGCAACCCGGTCAAGCATCTGCACTCACTGCGTCATCAGAGGAGCAGAGAGGCAACGGAGCTTGAGGCAACGAAGATATAGGGGACCACTAGCCGTGAAGTCATATGACTTCGACCGTTCCTGGAAGGCAATGACTGTTTTAATGATCATCCCCAGGACGCGGAATTTGAGCACATTGACCAAGGGCTTGACCGGAAGCTGTGGTGGAAGGGGCGGAAGATCTTCTTCGAGGTGCTGGGCTGGCGTCGCACCATAATCAGCCGCGGGATCGAGTGCGTGCGCCGGAAGGCACGTTGGCAAGATCTGATTCTCCATGAGATCCATCAACAAGAGTCCACAGAAGGGCACGCAGCCTTTGAACGCGGTCGAGTGACTGGGAAATTGGCCTGATGTCGACATTGAGAACACGTCCGGGGGGCCTGCTGAATTCACAATCTCTTCCATCCCTTCCTCGGAGATCATGACGTCCACCACTCGGCGCATGTGCCGAAAGTTACGCGTTGGCGACGTGAGCGTCCTCAGATCACGTAGAATGCGCATCTCCCAAGGTGGGATCCGTGTCCACGTCCTGTGCAACCTTTCCACCCACGGCGATTGCAGGCCGAAGACGATTTGTGTCATGGACGCAAAGTTCGCCACCTGGTAGCATTTCTGCGAGAAGCAACCATACACCGTCAGAGAGATGTCATGTCAGTCAAAGACAGTTGCAGGATTGACTAACCCAAGCGACGCGGATGAATTTGGATATCACAGCTGCCCTCTCGATCAAATTCTGGGTGAGTACGACCTCGGAGGCGACCCAATTCGCCGCCAAGTTGAACCGTGCGACGATGACGCCAATGTTGTCCTCGTCCCAGGTTGCCTGCGCTTCTTCGGCTTCCGCTTTCTCGCGCATGCGGATTCGGTAATACTCTTCCCAATCCGAAATTTCACACCGCTGCCTGAAGGATTGCCATCGTCCACTTGCCAGTTCTTGCCATGTGATGTGCGAGAACAATTCCGCTTCAATCAGCGACATTTGCCCTGCAATGTCCTCAGACCGGCAATCGAGCAAGAACGAGCGATGGACCGGCGGCAGTGACCACGAGCCGAATTGCGATGTTGCAAAGCGCTTGTCGAGGCCTGGCTCTTCGAGCTGATTTCCTTTCTGAGCCTGAGCGTCCTCAGATGACCGCATGGGCAAGCTTGACGAGCGCTCGTTGCTTTCATGGGGTGGTACAAAGGAGTCCTTCCCAGAGCTTGGCGGGACAATGGCTGCCGGGACATCCTCCACAGCAGCTTCTGTCACCGCACCGGGCTCGCTTGAGTGATGCTTGGCCTTGGACGCTCGACTGTTCTGCCACAATGCTTCCACCTTTCGGGCCCTGGCTTTTACCTTTCCTTCGTCGATGTAGCCTTCCAGCTTTCGCAAAGCCGCCTCGGCGTCCCCAGGTTCGTCCTCGTCGCTCTCAAAGCCATCTAGGTTGAAGCCTTTGATGAGCTCGTACCCTGCGAGGGCTTCGTCTGGGTCGAACAGCTCTGTTGTCAGATATCCAAATTTCTGTTGTCCTTGCGAATTGAAAGGAGGGTCCCCTTCCGCTGCAAGCTGCTCGGGTGGAGAGGACCATGGCGCATCACCGACCGAGTCGCTAGCGAGAAGCTTACTCTGGACAGAACCAAAGGCTCTCCTGGCAGTTCGCAGGTCTCGGGCCCCTGGAAGTCTGCGAAGGGCTTTGCGCACTGCATCATCGTCTTCGTCGCTAGACAGATCAACATCGTCAATTTGAACGATGCCTGGGAATGGAGACGTGCTGTGACCAACAAGTGATGGTCCTTGTTGCTTTCGGAGAGACGTACTGCTACTTGAGGCAGCAAGTCGAAGCCTTCTCGTTGGAGAACGCAGAGTTTGTTCGCTCGTGGTATGATGCAGATTGTCGGCACCTACTTTGGTACAGGCCATATTTGGCACTGCTTCACTGCTCTCCGATGACCGCATGTCTTTACACACATCAGAAGGGCCCGATTCCCAATCTTGAGTGTGCCCGTGGGTCTCTTCGACCGTAGCCTCATTGCTTTGGCGCGGTAGATCAACCGATGTCGCGGGTGTACTCTCTGCCGCCTCAGATACGGAGTCCAAACTTGGAGTGTGCGCGTCGCCGGCAGTGGATGAAGAACTAGCAGAATAGTCCCCCGCATCTTTCTCTCCAGCTGGGAGTTGAAAGAAGTCGATGAAGCTTTCGAGTCCCCCCTTGATGAAGAGAAGATCACCAGTGTCGTTAGGGACAGCATCAGATGAGGTTGTAGCGGCAGAAGACATGGCGGTCTCCCGACGCTGTGCTATCATCCTCATCTTCTGTATTTTGTGCACAGTGCTGTTCAGCGCCCGAGAGATAGAGCCAAATCCGGCACCTTGCGTTGAGGAATTGCGTCCGTGAGACATGGCATCCAAAGCTTTTGCAGGTGCTCCGTTGAATGTGCTGAAAACTTCTCGCGTGCCTTTACGCTCTCGTGCGACAGTCAAAGGGTCTGAAAGACGTTCGAGATCGACTTCGCTCTCCGAGAGGGATCCAGAAGAAGAAGACGCAGCCATGGTAGGCTGCGAGATGCCCCCCTGTCTGAATTGATCATCGCCTTGCCCTAGCAAACCCGAAACGCCTGATTGTGAATAAAGATGCTTGAGTTTGACCACGGTCTTTCTCAGACTCGAAATGACTCCCGCTTCTGCCACGTTGCGACTCGACAGGTCCCCAAAGGAGTTGAGCCATGTCGTCAGGCGATTGCGCAGCTGGCGATCCGGCAAGAAATCTTCCTCGAAAAAATGTATGAGCCAGAATTTGAGGACAACGTAGGTCCTGACGCGGACCACGCTTTGCACATGCGCATCTCGGAAAGAGACTATTAGCTCCAGACTCCAATTGAATCGTTCAATCAGCAAGTCGAGCAAAGTGTGAGAGGTGGTGAAAGAGCGATAAGTGTAAAAGAAGTCGATGTGCAGTCTCGTGTCGATGACGCTCGTCAGCTGGACAATGACACGTTCGAGACTGGCAGCCAACAGGGCCGCATGGTCCTTCGGGAATATAGCGGCCATTTGGTAGTCCCGCAAAGGGGGTATTGCATCAGCCTCCTCCTTGGTGAGCGAGCCCTTGACGATGGGATGATGTTGCATGCTCGCACTGAAACAAGAAATGGATTTGACCGGGCCGTTGCCAGATGAAGCTGGATCAATTGACTCTAATGGCACCGGGGCGCCTGGCCCTGATGTCTGCACCACTGCACGGCGATTAGGATGGCACGGAGCGCCCCAAATGGCGTAACGGGGATCATTGCTGAATGACGCTCGTCTCCGACGCTTTCTCGAGTAGGAAGAAGAGCTTTGCGAGTCTTTGGATGACCGGGCACCTGTATCCTCTAGTGAAGCCGCTTCGTCCACTATCGCATCGTGCGACTGCAGCAGATCGAATGCATTCGGACCCTCGAGCCCAGAAGAATCTGCAGCATCCGCATCGGAGAGGCTGGGTGCACTAGCACTAGCACAACTTAAACGTCGCGTGCGCTTCCAGTCTCCACGGGAGAATGGGTGGAATTGCACAGATGGCCCAAATGGTGGCCCATTGATCGCTTGCTGGTCGTCACGGACGGGTGCGGAAAGCCGCAACCGGGAGGTCGATCCGGTCTTTCCCACCAAGACTGGAGGTTTGAGTGAAGGAAAGCACGGATGGGTGCCCAGGACAGCACCCAGGACGTCACCGCTTTGGAGCGGATTGCCATCGTTGTCTTCAAACTGTGACCCAGAGCTGAGGCTGCTTGTACTCATCCCGTCGTGGTGCATGGTTGCGAGGTCCGTGTCTGTGACCCTTTTGGTAACTTTCCAGACCGCCCGACCTCCCTCTAGCTTCTGAGCCCTGATCACGAAAGGTGTGCCACTTCCCAGATCACCAATAGCTTCTGCTTGCTCCCGCGTCACAGAAGGGTCGATTTCAAGTTCATACTTGGCAATGAGGGCCTTGACAGCACTGTCAAATGGTGGTAAGGCTTGTCAGTATGCCTTCGCGGAACCTGCTGGCTCGTCTTCCTAGTATCAGCACTGACTTGAAGTTGGTGGTTTCGAGAGGTGCGAAGTCCTCGGGTACATCCGTTGCTTCGTCCTTGGCGGAGGCCAGACTGCCTCCTGTTACAGCCTCAAGCGGCTTCATTGTGAGATTAATCGCACGTGGCGAGCGACGCGCAAGCTACGGTGATGGACATGAAGCAGTTTCATACGGTATTTTGTATGGCTGCCAACTGGCCTGAAGACCTTGTTCCAAAGCCTAGGATCAGAGTAAAAGTGTCGCCTTTCGTTGATGATGCATCCAATGTTCGGCGTAGGACTTAGGAGGTAGATGAACCTGAACTACCTGAGGCCTTTCGACGGAGATGGTACCGTCACCAGGAACGCCTCAAGGCTCGAAGAGGGAGCACTAACCGACAAGTTTCGGCTGTCCGCTTCGAGCAGATGGGATATGTGCTGTGTGACTGCGATACCAACCAAATGTTTGTTATGTACTTGCCGTGAATGGCATCTGGCAGTTCCATCAGGATTGGAGATGAGCACGTCTCAGTTGGACCGCACTGGGACTCGGTTTAGAGTTAGTTGACCCCCTCTCCTGTCTCCACTGTCAGAGACTTTATGGACTCCCCGCATACAAAAAGTTAAATTGCAACAGATTGATCAACTTCCCTCAATGCAGACTGCAGCCGCGCCATCATTTCCAGCGTAGGGCGTCCACAATGTAGGGTTGCGGAGTAGTAAAGGAGCATATTTGGGTTAGGGTTGCCACCGATGATCAACCGCGATGCAAGAGAATCGCGGACGCCGTCCAATTAGCCAATCACTAACCCAAACCACATAGGAGGGCGTGCTTTTCGCAAAGTGGACGCCGTGTCACGAGTCCTACAGGCCACAAAATTAACCCTCTTGCACTATCTCTCCCTACCTTGGAACATATCGTATTGGACCTTGAAGCTTAACACACCCCTTAGTCAGCTTCAAGTGGGCTCCGTACAGCTGCAGTTGCGTCTGAGCCTGTGGCACCCGGGTCGGCGGTGCGTCGAGCGTCGGGCCACCAGCAGTCCTCAAAACGCCGTCGCCTTGCCATCAGGCGATTCGATCGCGCTTTCCGCATTCGCTCCCATCGACTGCGCAGAGGAAATCCAAGTGGCCCTCTGGACTGCGACGCGTGGCCATTAATCGATAGGGTACTCTCTCAAGCCGTGTCTGCTTGAGTAGTGCCTGGGTCAGGCTTGCTGCTGGGGTCACGAGGGTGATTCAAGCCTCTATATCGCCATGGTCGGCATCGCCCTTCCCGGCGCAGCTTTGCCTGCCCCCAATGCCACCAAGGGCCCCTCGTCATCAAAAGCAGATGGAGGACCCTCCATAGTAGAGGGGAAAATAGCGGATGCTTCGACGAGGCCGGAGCGCTCTGCAGTAATGGGAACTGCTCAGCAACACGAGGTGGTGCCAACTCTGCAGTAAGTGCATCCCATGTTCTCCCCCTTGTCTCCGGACGGACTGCGCTCAACAAAATTGGCCTATCCTCGCACCCGTACTATGCTAGAAACATTGTCGCGACTGTGAACTTGGAGGTTCGATTGGATCTCAAAACAATTGCGCTTCGTGCACGCAATGCAGAGTACAACCCAAAGGTACTGCCTCCCCCCTTCACATCTGCCTTTCGCAGCTTTCCTTTCCACTCATCTAACCCTTTACTCGCACGTACAGCGCTTTGCTGCCGTAATCATGCGTATTCGGGAGCCGCGTACAACAGCTCTGCTGTTCGCGAGTGGCAAGATGGTAGTCACCGGTGCCAAATCAGAGGATGACAGTCGACTTGCCAGCCGAAAGTATGCTCGTATCGTTCAAAAACTTGGCTTCGAGGCAAAGTTCTCCGAATTCAAGATTCAGAACATCGTCGGCTCGTGAGTTGTATCGATGCGAAAGCATTTTGCACAGCTTTTGAAACCCAAGTCCGCTTATCCTTCTCAGCTGCGATGTGGGCTTCCCAATCCGTTTGGAGGGCCTCGCTTACTCCCATGGCCCTTTCACGTCGTATGAGCCGGAGGTTCGTCGAAGAGAGATCGCGTCTTTTTGGAATGCGCATCTAATAATCGGTTCCTGCTCCTTCTCGGGCCAGTTGTTCCCTGGGCTGATCTATCGCATGGTCAAACCAAAGGTTTGTACGAACATGTAAATGCGTCCTCGTGCGTCCGGTACTAACAAAGCCGCTTGTGTGCATCGCGACAGGTGGTCTTGCTGGTCTTCGTCTCAGGTGGGTGCGAGAGAGAAAGTCGCCAATGTCCTGAAAAACGACTTCTGACTTCTCGTCCGCTCCGCAGGCAAGATCGTACTGACAGGTCAATATGCTAAGAAGTCCCCTGGCCGAACGATCGTACTGACAGTGCTTCATTTCCTTGTCGACAGGCGCCAAACATCGCGATGAAATTTACGACGCCTTTCGTCTAATCAAGCCTGTGTTGGCAGAGTTCCAGGCTTCCAAAACATAGGAATGCGTCCCGCGTCCGCTTCGAGGACGTCGTCGTACCTCAATACGACGGCCCGTCATTTCCCGTTCTGTAGTTCTCCCCCACTCTCCCCCCCCCTTCCCCCTGTGTGATTGACCCCACCCAGCACTTCTGTATTCTTAGAGCATCAAGCAAACACATTTCATGATGGGTCAGTGTGATCCTCCGTCCATGGAGGTGAAGCAGTGCCTTGAACGTTCTTGAGAAACAAAGGGCAAAGCTGTACAGCTTCCAAGCAGCCTCTCGCTCTGTTCACTGCCAAGGAGCGAACTAAAGTCGTGAACAGGCGGCATTACCCTCGCATTCTCGGTGTGGCTTCGAGGCCATGGGAATCGCGCGGCCGCACAGCCGTCCCATGGCCCACCAGGATCCTGTACGGTACAAATCCTGGCAGCCCAAGATGCATACAATGTCAGCATGCATGTGTACCGACTGACGATGCTCGCAGTCCTGACTGGGATTTGGTATCTAGGGGTGACCACAACCACAGCGGGCGTATCACCGGTAAGAGCTGCTGTGGTAGGCCATAGTGCAAGTTATACAGTACAAATGGGGACAACCGAGACATCCAAGGAGTGACTTAAATGTAGGTGTCGTACTGTGCGGCGAACGAGCAATGTCAGGATTGTTGAGCAGCAACGGGTTCGATCAATGGTTCATCCGTACTCACAGCTTGGGGAGCGAGAGTCTCCGGAAGGTTGCTGGAAGTCTTGATGGTCCTTGCCTCACGTGGTGCTGCCGGAAGACGCTTAAGCTGGACCTTCTCTGTAAACAATGAGTGAAATTTGATTCCAACATCAGTTCTTGATCAAACGAGTACTTCCGTGACACGTTGTCCCCCAACGCAGCGTCACAAGTGTCGTATAACGGTCGATGTCCGATTCACTGGCACGCTCAGCGCCCCGTCCTGCGCCAAGTGTGGTGTCTGCAACATGTCCGATTGATCTTCTATCGAAGACAGCGGTCTGAAGCTGCAATATCCTTCCCTACGCCCATCATGACTAACCATCACCATCGGTCTTGACCTTGTGAACTTACCACCAGTCTCTTTGGCCTGCTTCTTCTTCTCTGAGTTCAGCTTGACTCGGTCCAAAAAGTCATCACGGCACTTCGAGTGCTTGACGTGCTCGATGCGGACATTGACACGCTTCTCCATGTACCTGTTACCGACCACCTTGTACACGATGACACCGACAGCGCGCGGGGCCACGTTGAAGACGACACCTGTCTTGCCGTGGTAGTACTTGTGGGGCATGCCCTTTTGGATGGCACCGTTGGCCTTGATGTCGACAATGTCACCGACGTGGTATGGCCTCATGTACGTGGACAAGTGAATTGGACCATGTTGGCGGAAACCCCTCTTGAAGAGGTCCCTGGTCCTCGCCCTGTAACCGAATGAGTGCGGCATGGCGATTGATCAACCTGCATCAGGAAACGGCACATCATGCGAGTCAGCACTGGCTGAACCCTCCTCCAGCAGTAATGGTTTGATAGGTTCTCCAAGTGTCCTCTGACGCTCTTTTGCACGGCGGGTGCCATGCGCGGTTGCGCAAGAACCCAGTTCGCAGAAGGCGGTCTTGAGCGTTTCTCGCACCGATCATCCACCTTATACAGATGCTTTACTTGGGCAAACAGCACGCCTTCCCCCAAGGCAGGCGAGATCCAATCTCGTGTCCAGCTCTGCGATTGACACTGTCATCATCGTTTATCCAAGTGGCAGTCTCCCCATCGACCTGGTGGACTCCAAAGATTCTTGCCCGGGTGGCATCTCTGAGCCTGCGCGCGCCTCGGATCTTGGCCATCGCGGCTAGAGAAACAGAGGCTATCCTACACGGCCACGCTTGAGTTCTGGTTTCGATGCTTACCTTGATTTAGTTGGAGCCTTGCCAATGTGACTGCGGGATGTAAATACTCTCCGTGACGTGAAATGAAGACGATTTGATGTAAGTAGCTCGCAGTTCCCTGGAAGCTGATGGGAGCATGGGGGTCTGCGGGTGGCGAAGCCGCAGCTGCGGAGTGGGCTGAATAAAGGTCACTTTGAATTGTACGAGACGAGATTTGCGTGGCGACGATACTATTCCTATCTCAAACAATACTGGGATTATCTTCCACATACGAATGCACTCTCCACCAGCGGCTCCATCCAAGCATGCACCCACTGCGCGCGACCTAGCATCTTCTCAACTTCTTTGGCTTCGACATTGCTCATTGGCTTCACAAATCAGTCAAGGTAAGGCCTTCGTGCGCACTGCAAAGGTGAGTCAGCAACAAACTACCTGTGTTGGACAGGCATGTGCCTGCTTGCCAGATAGCCTTTTGGGAGCAGGCTGCAGAATAACGACGGACAGCAAATTGGGGTTGCGTTGCGGAAAGTGGAAAGACGCTGTTGTTGCCAGAGCTTGCTGGTCTGTTGGCACGGATATTCAGCAATCCGTCAGGTTTGAGCCTTCGTTTCTGCAGCCGACGTTCGATGATAACGTACGGCAGACAGACGTAGGGCTCGGCAAGAAAGATAAGCTGGGGAGCCTGTGGGTGCGCCTTCGTAGGCATAAGACGCCGCCTGCAACAGCAGCCGCAATCAGCGGTCCGAAGCTTTGAACAGTTCCAAGGGGGTATTGAAGAGACCAATACAAGCAACTGTCTGCCGTCACTGGTTGCTGTGTTTCAACAAGTGACGAAAAGGGGCATTGACAAACGATCCCCTGTCTCTTTGCAGACTGACCATTCAACATGCCGAAGGCACCCAGAAAGCAATCTAAGACCTACAAGGGTGAGCGATCCTTGCCCTCGAAAGGATGACTCGAATGGCTGCAGCAACTGATACCTCCATCAACGACTTCCATTCGTGCAGTCCCCCGGCGTCCTTTCGAGTCCGCTCGTCTGGACAGTGAGCTCAAGCTCGCCGGAGAGTATGGTCTCCGTAACAAGAGGGAGATCTGGCGTATTTCGCTCACTCTCTCCAAGATCAGGCGAGCTGCTCGTGAGCTGCTCAAGCTCGACGACAAGGGTAAGCGGTTTTAGCTGGGTGGAGGTATTTGTGCAAGGTGGCTCACGTGTGACGCTTTGCTCAATAACAGACCCTAAGCGTCTCTTCGAGGGCAATGCCATCATTCGCCGTCTCGTGCGCATTGGTGTGCTTGACGAGACCCGCATGAGGCTTGATTACGTACTGGCCCTCAAGATTGAGGACTTCCTCGAGCGCCGTCTGCAGACTCAGGTCTTCAAGAGCGGCCTGGCCAAGAGCATTCACCACGCCCGCGTCCTTATCCGCCAGCGTCACATTCGTGTCGGCAAGCAGATTGTCAACGTCCCGTCCTTTGTCGTCCGTCTCGACTCGCAGAAGCACATTGACTTTGCCCTGACGTCGCCATACGGCGGTGGACGGGAGGGCCGTGTCAAGAGGAAGCGCGCGAAGGCCGCCGCTGGCGGTGACGGCGAGGAGGGTGGCGAGGAGGAAGAGTAATCGTCTTGTGACCCGTCTCACGAGTTTCACTACCACGAACGAGACGTTCGCCATATGCTGCATCGGAGCGATGGCGCCCATGCAGCATTGTAAAATACGCACACAGCAATCACCATGGCTCGCTATGCATTATTTAGTGTGCTCATGTCCTGAGCACGGTCACGGTAACGAATAGCGGGATCTATATATACACTCCGTCAGGAAGAAAGATAACTATCTGATAGCGTGTATGGCTTTGGTACCGACTTCTCCCACTCGGCACGGCGGCGCTACAGATGCAGTTCTCAAAGACATAATTGCAGCTTCAAACGAACTTGATACTTGGGCAGTAGCATACATTTTAGTTTAATGGTGAGCCTCGACCTTGATGTCAGCCGCGGCGTTGGCAAGGAAAGCGTGGACGTCCTCGCCGCTCTCGGTGAGCGAATCGCCGGAGGAGCCCTTAGCGGATGCTTCAATGCGGTCGGGCTCAGCGGATGCGTATGCGTCCAGCTGCGATGCGAGCTCCGACGAGGATGGCGCTGCGGGTGCCTTGGGTGCAGAGGGGGTCGCGAACTCGCGGACCTGACCAATGTGCGTATCGGCGGCCTATGAAAGGTTGAAGCGTGGTGCGAAAAAGACGAGTAAATCAGTTAGGCGGTTCAACAAGCGTGCGTGATGTTCTTGCAGGGTTGGGCGCCTCCCATATCTATTTCAGCCAATGCCATCAGAAATAGATGGCAAAACTGTCCCTCATCTCGCTCTATTCAACTTCGCCAGGACTGCATGCAGCGAACAAGGTAAGTGCCGGTGGCCAAGCCGTCCACCAGCACGTGCACCGATGCCAACATTACTAGCCGCCCTACCCTCCAAGGCCGACAAAAGTGGCCGGCCTTTACGCGCTGTTGTGCTAGAGTAGCTTCACGTAGTGGCGTCCCCTGGCCTAATTCCATCTATCCAGCGGGTGTTAAGGTTAAGACAATGGAGCACGTCCCACTCTCCGGGCCATCATCGCGCTCTCCCGTCCTTGCTCGTTCTCGCTTATCTGACTCAACGTTGGATACGCATCTCACCTTTTGTGGTGGCTTGTACGCCTTGAGCTCGCGCAGGTAGAGCTCCTGGACAAAGTCTGTATGTCGGATTGGGGTAGAGGACGAATCGGTAAGGACCAGGTGCACTTTTTCGCTGACCAGCCAAGAGGGATCGCGGAGCGGAAGAGCTCATAGCGGCTGTCGGAATGCTCACCCTTTTGAGAGACGGCCGAGATGCTGAAGCTGCGAGCCGAGGCGCTGAACGCGCCAGCACGGGCCTGAGGGAAGGGTACCATCGACAAAGATGATCCAGTCAGTCAATAGGTCCATCAACGAGAAGATAGAAAGCGAGACAAAAGCGAGAGGAAGAGGGAAACGCAAACGGAAGAGGCTTCCGAACGTTGCTGGCTGCCCAGAACGCTACTCACGAGGGGCATGGAAGCCTTTGCGACAAAACGAGCAGCCATGGTGACAGGGACGATGCTTCCAGTGGGATGCAAGGTTCGGCCCTATCGGTGTGAGAGGTGCTGCTCTTCCAGCTGCTGCTCGGATGAGGCAAAGATCAAGAGCGGACTAAGCTTTGGCAGTGTTCGGTAGCTGCTGGATGGACAGAAGAGCGAGAGAGAGCAAGCAAAGAGAGAGTGCTGGCGGGCGGCGGGCACAGTCAACGCACTCTCTCCCTCAGCTGGCGAAAGAAGAGAGATGGAAGGAAAAGACGCGCTCCCGTGCTGCCCTTCGGAGAGAGACGGGCTGGCTGACAGCTGCGCGCGGGCGCGGGAAAGAACAGGACGGGCGGAACCAGTCACAGAGTCCTCTCGCAGGCCACATTATTGCGCACTCTCCCCATGTGTGAGTGATGACGATGGGAGACGCACTGACCACATACAACACGCTCCTGATTGATCATCGCCTCTCCACTAAAAGCTGTGCCAACAGTCAACGCCGCCAACATTCAACTCCCCTTGCATTGCATCGAAAGCAGCAGCAGCAGCTTTAGTGCAGCTCGATCTAGACCCATACCGGTCACCTATCCCTTCACTCCTTTGCACCATCAAACCACCAGCCCCTCGAGCCGCCGCAAACATGCTCTCCCTCACCGCCATCCGCAGCGCCGCCGCCATCCGCTGCTCGTCTGTCACCAACGCTCGCTGGGCGGCAGGGACAGTCAGGATGTACTCGGACAAGCCCGGCTCCGCCGGTGCCACCGCCCAGTCCACCACCTTCAAGAACAGGGAGCAAGCGCAGGAGGCACATTACATCAAGCAGCAGGAGGCCGACAAGATCCGCAAGCGTGAGTGCCGCGACTACAAGTGATGTATCCCATCCAGCCAGGCGCCGGGGCTTTATCAGTTCCCACGAATTTCTCCGCTTTACCACAACTGACTTCTCTTTTCCTATCCTCGAGCAGTCCAAGAGAGCATCAAGAAGCAGCGCGAGGAGCTTAACAATGTGAGCATCGGCATCGGAGACGGCTTGTCCCCTTGACGAAGGCCCATCTGACCATACTCTTTCACCTCCCCCTTGGCGCACGCACAGCTCGAGAAGCACGTCAACGAAGTAGCCGGCTCGAGCAAGAAGTAAACAGCCACACACCAGGGCCATGCTCGCACCGCTCAAGCGTGATGAAAATGTAGTACCGCACAGAAATGGAATATGATCATTCGCAGAAGCCACGTCTATGGTGGACCGGCGCAATTGCTCGGGTATCATCTCCATTTCACGGCCCGTTCTTCGTAGCAAGCACGTCCCTCGCCTCAACGACCACATCCTTGTCCCTGACATACTTGGCATAAGCCCGCAGCGCATCTAGGTCCGCCGCACCGATCGTCTGCATGCCCACGTCGCCCACCTTGGCACTGTCCAGCGTGCGCAGGTCGCCCAGCACGAACAGCGCTCGCTGTGCACGTGTCAATGCAACATTTAAGCGACGCGCATCGGCCAGGAAGCCAACGTAACCGTCCGAGTTCGATCGCACCGTCGAAAAGATGATCGCCGCCTTCTCCCGCCCTTCGAATCCGTCGACCGTGTGGACATCCACCTCCCCCAGAGCCGACGCTCGCGGGCCCAACTGATCGGCCCAGCTCTGCTTCAGGTTGCCGCGCAGCAGGCTCTCCAGCAGCAACACCTGCGCCAGGTACGGTGTCACGATGCCGATTTGGTGTCCTTGTAGTTCAGGATTGCGCAGCAGCAGGTCCACCACCACCTGCATGGTCAGCTTCGCTTCTGCCCTGTTCTGAACGCTGTCATCTACCTTCCGTTCCGTGCCGGTATGGTTGACAAAGCTGAGATAGTGGTGTGTAGGCCCCAGCGCGGCCGTAGTTGCACCTGCAGCTGACGTTGAAGTACGCGATTGCGCGTTCATTTCGGCGCGGAAGAATCTGGAGTGCAACGGAGCGATGCCGTGAGTGCGCAAGGCATTGAGCAGTGCGCCTTCGTAAAAGGTTTCGTTCGGAAATTCTGCAATGGCGGGATGCATGCGATACTGCTCATTAAGCATGACAGATGGCGCGGCCTTCTCGTTGATCAAGCGCTCGAACAGGCTTATACCAAGCCCTCCCAGCTTGGCATCTAGGCTGGCCACCACTGGGGGAAGCTGCTTGTGGTCGCCTATAATCGCCAGATGTTGACAGCCCTTGATCAGAGGAATGAGCGATGTCGGCTCAGTCGCCATCGAACCTTCGTCGAAGAAGACAACCGGGAAGTCGATCTGTTCGAGGTCGTTCGAGCAGGAGCTGACGGCTGTCGCGCAGATGACATCGGCTTGGAGGAGAATGCTGCGCGTGATTCGTCGCCACAGGACATACGCGTGCCGGTACCCGCGCGCAAGCTTTCCACGCAGATCCGCAGCCTGCGCTGATGTCAAACGCTCTGGTTGGGCTGCCATCGTGAATCCCGAGGCTTCAATGGGCACTCCAATCGTCCTTCCAAGACTGTCTGCGTCGCCCCCCTCCTCGGAATCCAGCGAGAAGCCGAGCCTGAGTTGCAGACGAGCAATGTGGCGCCGCACGTCGATCAGTTCCGGCATGAGGGGATGCTGGCCCGCTAAAGCTTCCAAGCTGTGCTCTCGTAGCTTCGGTCGTGTCCTGGCAGACGCGCCGGTACGCACGACCTTGAGTCCACGGTTGACAGCGCCTTCGGCGAGATTGTCGACTGCAACATTTGTGTGCGCTGTCAAAAGGATTGGCTGATGTACCTTGAAATGTGACTTGAGAAGGTGGACAGCTTCGGCGATAGTCCGAGTTTTGCCGGTGCCAGGCGGGCCTTGGATCAAGCTGATTCGGTTCCCGAGCATCGCGGCGATCGCTTTTACCTGCGACGTATTCAGACCAATCTGCGGATCCTGGCTCTTTTGCAGAGAATGAGAAATGCGCGATAGCCAGTCTTGCAGCGCTGAATTCTGGCTGAAAGCACCGGTTGCGCGGCGCGTCGGAGGAGGCGGAATACCTAATACAGCGTCAATGACCTTACAACCGGAAAGTCGGACTTGGCTGTCATGGAAGGCGAGACTCTCGATAAAGTCGACATCATGCTCGATTGCCTCTAGCGCACGCTCTATGCGTCGCTCGAAGAGATCATTGCTGCCTTGGTCCATACGCCACGCTAGCACACCTTCCACGTCGACCTGTGCGTACTTTTCGTCAAAGGCAACTCTGACCCTCGTCCGTCCTTTATCAATCAGGGTCCCCTCAATGACCGGCTCCTCCAGCAAGATCGACTCGCCAAGGGCCTCTTGGGGGGTCAAGACGACGCAGTCTCCAGGACGAAGTTTGTTCCAGCCGAAACTCTGCATGCCGACCTTGCGAAAGACAGCGACCCTCTTGCCATAATGTCTGGCATTGCTGCTGAGCCAGTATGCCTGGAGATCTGATATCGCAAGCCCACGCTCGACAAGTTTGGAAAACGACCAAGTCTTCCGCAAGGAGAGTGTCTGTTCCCGGGAAGCTTTTTCCGCTTCCAGCAATTCCGTAGTTCGGTTGCGGTACTCGCTTAGTACCTTGCGCAGCTTGCGTCGAAAGCTGGAATCTTGACGGTTGAATTGCTGCTGTGTCATCTGCCCGGAGAGTCCGCTGCCTTCTCGCATAACTTCCAGGTAGCCGGATCTGCCTCCTGTCGGCCTTCCCTCCAGCATCCACTTTGCCGGCGGTCTTCGCTTGAGAGCATCGATGCGAGACTGCTCTTCTGGATCGTAACGGTTGAGGTCCCAGACATGATCGTACTTTGTCATCGCAACTTCTTGCATGGCTTTTCTCTCCGACTGGCTCGAACTCGACGCGATTTGCGACGGGTCGAGTCCTTGAGTCTCTTGCGGCTCACAAGCTGTCTGCCTTGAAGTGGGCCATTGAACCCCGCCATCGACCGGAACTTTGAAAGGATCAAGCGCTAACCCGAAGCTCGCAGGCAGCGCAGTGTCGGCCCCAGGGGGTGGAGGCGCGTCACGTCGCTGCTGACCATTGGTGAAGAGCGGATTCAGAACGCCGCGGGGAGGAGCAGCCGGACTGGC